GGGGAATTTTAGTCAGGGATATGGAATGAGGAGCAGTCAGAAGGAAGGAATGGTGCTCCACCATTCACTATCCAGCTGGCCCTTCACCTTTAGGGCTGTAACACTTCAAAGGGTGTCCCAGCAGCAAGCCAGAGACTGCAGCCCTGGTCTGCTGCCAGCAAATGCTAGGTGAAGCTCCATTATCTGAAACAGCACTTAAATGCAATGAAGTTTTTATTGTATCTGTGTGTGGGGAGAGTATTTTATGCATGTGAACACACCACCATCTCACGTGCATTGGTAATAATGGAAGATACATCTTGCACGTAGTGCTTGGGAGCTTCTACAGCAGATAGTTTATTTTTTTCAATGCTACTATAGCAATGGGATAGTCTGCCTTTGTTCTCTGCAAAGCTAAGGAATACTGAGCAGAGGTGTGGGACTGAAAACCAGTTTTGAGTCCTCGGCTTGAGGCAGAAGTCCCTCAAGTTGAAATGCCTCAGGTTACTGGTTAGAGCTTGCAGTTCTCAGCATCATCCAGATCTGTTCTCCAATGGAGTGGAGCCAAGAATGAACCTGAAATGGCTACAGACAGTGTTACTGTCAAACAAAGAGGGAACCACTGCTCCAATCCCATGGTCAAAACCTGGTATTGTGGTGCAAGAAACAGAAGCAGACAAATCTACATTGGTGAGTCTTCTGGTGCTGCAATTCCTTTCCTTTCAATGGATACCTGTATCCCTTACTCCAGCATGTTCTTACAATGCCAACAAATAATGGTGTGTGGTGTTTTTCAGGTAATTTGGTAGTAATGCCTTGTGTTGTAAAATACTGTGGAGAGGGAAAGACTGGGAGAAGAAAACCCTTCATTTCAGCTGTTCAGCAACCTGACAGAGGCCAGATATTGCTAGAGGATTTCTAAAGTCCAAGTAGAAATGCTGGAAACAGCTGGCTCAGAAGGCCCTGAAGTCCTGCATTGGTGCTTTGGCCAAGCTGTGAACACTGCTGCTTTTCATGGGACTTTTGGCCACACTTTTCTAATTGCAACAGATTTTTCAAGGTAATCAAAACATATCTGATGCTTGCTGCAGATCCTCAGTGAGGCTGTGTAAACCTGTATGTGTAGAGCAGCTCCCACCAAGCCACAGGGTACTGCCTGGGGCACCATGGAGGACTCCTCTGGTTCTTGTGCTAAATGATTCTCTTGTGCCTGTAAGATCCCTACTGCCTCTGGCAGTGATGTTTCCCCAGAGCTCCCTTAGCACAAGCAAATGTAAAACCTCAGTCCCAAACTGATTTCTGAGCTGCTATTCTGGGGCTACAAGGTAAGGTTACACACACAGATTTTTAGAGAACATTTTGATGACTGGAAGAGCCATGTGTGCCAGGCTAGGGACACTGGGAGGGAACTAAGGTTTCACACACAGATTTTTAGAGAACATTTTGATGACTGGAAGAAAAGAGCCATGTGTGTCAGGCTGGGGACACGGAGGGAATTGGAAATTGGCCTGTCCTCACTTCCCTGTCTTGCCACTCATAGTTTTTTTCTCTTCACTGTGTAAAGGATTGAGAACACTCATAGAAAAGCATCCACTGTTTTGGCTTTGTCCCCCAGCTGCTGTTTTCTCCACCTGGGACAGGAAGATGCTGCTCTGTGTCTCACGAGACACGTGTATAGCTGAGGCTGATTCCTCACAGGACAGTGCTCAAAAGACTCCAGACAGGACTAGAAATGCTCCTACAGAGTGCTTTTGAAAGTTTGTGTTACAAAACATATCCAGACTATACAATGATCCTATACATGCAATTTTATTTTTTTTTAATCTCTACGTAATTTCTTAGTTTACTAATCAGGCTGCTGAGGGTGTTGCTCTGTGACCACTTGAAGTCACTCGGTGCTTGAATGAGGTGCTGAGCTTTGCTCAATTTCCAGGGTGCCACTTGGGAAATTTGGAAATGGCCAGCCTGTGTGTGTTAGAGGAGGCTTATACAGCCCTAAAAGGGTTCTAGTAAACCTCTAGGAAGAGTCTAGGAATTTCTGGAGATACAAGAGGGGACCTCCAAAAAAAAAAAAAGACTAGAAATGGCCAGGAAATGTCCAGAAGTCTTCTGCAAAGGTGCTAGAAAACCTCTGAGAAGGCTCTGGAAACCTGTGTGATCACTTTATCTCAGGCAAATGAATCCAGTAGCAGCGGGACTGGCTCAGTGCTTTGAATAATGTCATTTGTTTCAGTGACTCATTAGTGCTGAGGAAGTGCTGCTCTCCTGGGCCTGTCTGGGGATGCTGCAGAGGGACCCACCCTGATTGTTTGTCAGGGGCTAATTGGACCTAAATACTCCTGACTTTGCCAGAGGGAGGGGCGGGGGTGACAGGAAGCTTGACTAATGGGTTTCATCTCAATTAACCCATGTGCAAATTAAATCACTTCTAAAGCATGCTGCTCTGACAGATCCCAGAGTCCCTCCAGGAGGCCCTGGACATTTTCTTAGCCTCTCTTTTCCACTCCTTAACCCGGGTTCAAGACCCCTGCTTGGCACCATGCTGGGTCTGAAGTGGTGATGGAGATAAAGCTCCCAAGGCAAGAGGTCTTCAAGGAGGGGGCTGAGAGCCCTAAGCCCCCCAGCACTGCTATTCCTCCCCTGCAGGCATTCAGTGGCCTCATCCTCTCACCTCTCCCCATCACCCTCCTTATCTGTCCCCTTCCTCCCAGGGCCAGGCAAAGCTCTTCCTCCTTGCCTTTCAGAGTGAAGGGTGGGCGCTGCTGATAATGATGATGATGATGATGTTGACCATTTATCTCCTGGCAGCTGAAGCACCCTCCACCCTCACCCCTGCCAGATGCCAGCCAGCCCCAGGCTCTGCCCTTGCTTGCTGCTCTTGGCATTGGTTGGGTTTCCAGCCCAGCTCTGGGGCCACCATGAGCCTGCAGCAGTGGCAGGATGGGAGAGTTGGTAACCATGGACATTTCAGGACTGTGCAAGGCTTGTATGGGTTGCTTGTAACCTCTGATGGGACTAATGGGCCTGAAGGCCTTCAGCCAAGGGTGCTGATCTATGCCCAGGGTGGTTTTATGTGGAAGCAATGGTCTTTGGTCCCTCAGTGAAAGTAACTGCTTGGGCAGACCTGGTTCAATGTGTTCCTCCAGCATCTGAGGCATTAGCCTGGCCCATGCTCTGTGTCTTGGGAGGAGATGCTGTCCCAGCCTCTGGAACTGCCTTAACTTGGCCTCTGAAATCCTGTTCTGTGTGGGCAGATGTCCCAGCTGGCAGCAGCCCGGATCTGGAGTTTTGTTTTGAGCTCCATACTCCAGTTCCTGGCATTGGTTGCACAGCTAAAGCTCTGGGTTTTGCTTAGAGGAAATACCTGTGCAGGTGCTCACGTGAGCCATCAGTGTCTCTGCCACTGGGAAATTAGTGTTACCCACACATGGCAGAGAGGTGACTCAGGACCATAATCCCAGACATCTCTGCCCAGTGCGCTTATTCTGGTGGGCCCTGCTGCCTGACAGGGTCTGGTTCAGCAATGTGTCTGTCTGGGTTTTTATTTTGTGTTTGCAGAGCAGAAAATGGGCACAGTAAGGGTCCAGGTGCAGCAGGTCCTGGGGAGCAGGGCAGAGTGCTTGGGGGACACCCTGGGCTCGCTGCCCACTGCCTTGGGGCAGGCTTGGCCAAGGGGAAGGACAGAGCTTTGGTGGCAGTAGCATCCCTGGCCAAGGGTATAAATAGCTGCTCTGGTGACCCAGGGAAGAATGGCTGCACAGGCGAGGTTAATTGTCAGCAGAAATTATGGGGACATTGTTCCTCCCAAGATAACCTGCAAGGGATGAAGCGTGGAACAAATTTTTCCCCTTCAGAGTAAAGGAAAAAGGGCCTGAAATATTGGTGCAGTGTCTTTGTTCTCAATTTTAGGGTGGCTCTCCTATTTCATTGTTTTTTTCCATTCTGTGTCAATGAGAACCAAGATGGATTAACTTTTTGTCTCCCCACCATGCCCTCCCAGAGGAGGAACTGAGATAGCTCCTGCAGGGCTGGGCAAATTCTCTGTTTAATTTAACCTCACATCAAGGTCTTTTTTATTTTTAGCTTAAGCATGAAATCTGGTGTTCAGGGATGGACAAGAAGCAGCTGAAAGCAATTTGCTGGAAACATCTGCATTGGACAGCGGAGTTCATGGGCTACTTCACAGATGAAAGCCGGTGCTTGTTTCTCTTGCAGGCCTGGAGGTTCTGCAGTCTCCTCCTGGGGGGCTGTAGAGGTGGCCACTGGTCTGTGCTGGTGGCAGCACCGAAGCTGTGCTGCTGTGATGAGGGCAGTGAGGCTCGCTGGGGCTGGGGCTGTTTCTCCTGGTGATGAAGCTCTGTGTCCTGCTGTTTCTGTGCACCCAGCTCCCAGACTATTTTGTCCACATCCTTTTTTTTTCTAACAGAGATCTCTAGCTGTTCCTTTCTCGCAGCCCCTTGCCAGTTTTGGCTGCAATACCTTGCTGTTATTGAAAACCATCTCTCTCACACCCGGTGATCATACAGCGTACAGCACTGTCTTACAGCGTGGAGCTAACCTTTGCTGGGAACCTGATGTTAGTGGGGAAAAGCTCATTAGCACTGCTAATTGAAAAGGGAACAAGACTCGATAAGGGGCTGGGCCAATCCTCCCCTTTGCTTTGGCGGGGCTTCCACCAGGTAAGGACTTGTCGGAGAGCGCGGCCCTGGCAAGCAAAGCCGGGCTCCAGCCTCCTCCTGCCCCGCTCGCTCCCTGCAAACCTCCGCCCTCCTCGCCCCGCATCTCTTTCAAACGAAACTTCCAAGCGGGAAGGCTTTTCCCTGCCCAGGGCCCCGGCTGAGGCCGTTCGCCATTTCAGAACCCGCACGGACCCCAGAGCCCCGCAGCCCCCTCAGGCCGCGGCGCCCGCCGCCCCACAGGGGGCGCTGTCCGCCCCGCCGCCGCGGGCACGCCCCCGCCGCGTGACGCGCTGGTCCCGCGTGGCGATTGGCTGAGAGCGGTCACGTGCGCGGGACGCGAGGCGGGGGCGGGGCCGCGGTTGCCGGGGCGACACCGGCGGCGGCTGAGGGGAGATTGGGACAGGTGGGAATGGGAGACAGGGGGATTGGGACACCTGGGAATGGGGGACAGGGGGAATGGGACACCTGGGAATGGGGGACAAGAGGGATTGGGACACCTGGGAATGGGGGACAGGGGGAGGGGGGGATAGGGGGGATTGAGGCAAGGGAGAATGCGAGGCAGGAGGGACTGGAACAGGGAGGATGCGAGGCTGTGGGATGTGGTGCAGGTGAGAGTGGAGCAGGTAGACCGTGTGTGCCTGTGTGTATCTCTGTGAGTCTGTCTGTCTGTGCCTCTACTTCTGGAGATGCTGTGGCTGAAGGGCTGTGCTGTGTGAGCCCTGTGCTCTGCACTAACTCCCCCTTCTTTGCCATTTTCCAGCTGTATCAGCGATGAGAAGTAGCAGCAGCCCTTAGCAATGGGTGATGTTTTAGCGTATGAAGCTGAGTTGCTTGGACTAGTGAAAGAGGTCGGTTTTCTCTCTTTATTTCTTTTCTTCTTTTCTTTTTTTCTTTTTTTTAAATGATTCTTGCAAGGCAAGATTTCTCAGTGTTTGCATTCAGAGCCAGGCATTGTAACTGAGGTCTGAATTCTGGAGTTATTTATCTGGCTATGTGTTGCTACACTCTGAAATTGTGCTGACTCCTGTCATGCTCTGTCAGTTCAAAAGGCTCAATGTCCATTAAATGCCAGCAGTAAATTTTCTTCTTTGGTCGAACGAAATTACTGGCTAAACCCAGAGGCATCATTCTTTCAGAGATGGTGTATTCAGTTGTCTCTAGGATGCAGGAGGAAATGGAGAGATGGTATTTTCCCACCACGAGGTGTCAGTTCTTGGTTTATCACTTTGCAGTCTTTGACATTTGTGAACCATCCTGCAGAGAAACTTTGGCATTTCATGGGCCATTCATTGAAGCATTAATCACCTAAAAAGAGGATTAATCACTTACTGAAGCATTAATCTAACAAATGTTGTTCCTCTATGTTTTTATCTCGCAGTATTTGGATTTTGCCGGATTTCAAGAAACAGTGAAAGTATTTAAAAAGGAATGTAAAATAAAAGGGAAGCCACTACCTAAACCAGCAGATGTTCCCTCAGAAGATTCATTGCCTGTTCAGGTAATGCATCATTTACACTTACTTTGAGTAATAATGAAAACAGAGCTCACTAAGCCCCCTGTGAGTTATTACAGCAGTGAATTGTCTGAACAGATTCTTGATTATTTGAAGAAATCTCTTGGCAGTCTTCTTCCAGCACAGGAACCTTCAAGTTTGGGGTTGGGGTTATTTTTCTTTCAGATCTGCAGTCATCTTGAACTCAAAGCAATAGTTTTGATTTATACTACTTTAAGTTTTTACTGATATGCTTGAAAATGTGGGGTTTGCTTCTTGTATTGATGGTTGATTCAGGCTCTCAAAGATACTAAAGATCTGTGAAAAAAGAACATTTGGGTGGTCATTGAATGGTGGGACATTTGTGAATAAAACTTTTAATTGGAAGTGCTCAGATGGCACTGGAATTCTTCATTCACTATCCTACTGCTGAGAAGATGTGGCTCTTGTGTGTTTGGGTTTTCACTTGATGCTTATCCCTTTCACAGGAAGAAATGCTTACAGCATTTGAAGATGGTGATCAGAAAGCCTTCTTCCACCTCTGGGAGGAGCATATTTTATCTTCAGTCCATGACAGTGATCCAGTTGCTCAGAACCTGGAGTTCTATCTCCACATCTACTTTGCCACCTTCCTCTTGAAACAAACTATGGGAAAACCTGTAAGTTTAGTTCACAATTCAAACCTCAGATTGCTTTTGTTTGTTTTACTTTATTTATTTGTCTTTAGTGTGGATGAAGATGGGATATTTTCTAATTATCATTCCAAGAGTATGTATCCAGTTTTAGCCACAGTCTGCATTTTAATTCAGCCACATCCTTTGTATTGTGAAGTACACAGATGGAAGTTGGAGCTGTCCTTATCCCAAAGTTCCTGAAGTATTTCAACTCAGAAAATACCAAAATGGCAATACTTTCACACTTGTAATTGTAGATCATAGCAGATTCTTTAAACATTTTGCTTGGAGTTTGCACTGAGCTGTGAGTTGAAGTACACTAATTTCTGAATAAATGGCAAAGCTCAGTTTTGGCCAGCTCAATATATTATGCTGAGAACTATAAATCCAAAGATGTTTTAAAACAAAATCTCTGTCACATGGAACTTTTATGATGAAGAGACATTTAAGTAGTTTGGACTCAGCCGGATCAGCCAGGGCTTAATAGCTCCTGGCCTTCACCTGTCAGCTGCTGCAGGAGTATTTGAATGCCTGAAGTCTCTTTTCCAGCCTCTAAGGGGCTTTTGTTCTGTTCTGTGTGCCAGCTCCACTTCCCACTGCTGTGCAAGTGGATTTTTTTGTTTCTGCACTTACCACTGAAATAAAGCATGTCCAAAGTATGTGTTTTCTCTCTGCCCTGAGTGTAGCAATGGCATTTTTCTTTAAAAATCTAGCCTGAAGTGAACAGGAATAATTTACATGCAGAAAGCAATTCTCTGTCTCTTCTTTCTTTGGACCTGGTTGAGAGAAACAACAACATTGGTTTACATTTTCCTTTATGACTGGTGAAAACACACAGTATGTTCTCTAATTAAATAAATACTGATTTTTAGATAACAAACATACTGGAACTTCAAATCTGGTATTAATATATTTGGGTCTCTTATTTGCCAGCTTTACAGTACATTCAGAATGGTAGTTTTCTAAATTAAATCTGCTTTATTTCCTAGGACAAGGCTGAACTTGACGAAAGGATTTCTTATTTCAAGGCATACCTGGAAACAAAAGGAGCTGCACTGAGCCAGACCACAGAGTTTCTTCCCTTCTATGCTTTGCCCTTTGTTCCAAACCCCATGGTACATCCTTCATTTAAAGAACTTTTCCAGGTAAGTATCTGTGTGGTGGAGATGCTTTTTTGCTGACTTAACTGACATACCTGCACAAATTTGTTGGTAAAGCATGTGTAGTATTTTTTAGAGTTATTTGCTCTGAATGCTTCTCTGACCAGTTGTGCTGGCCTGGCTGAGCAGCTGTGGGCAGCCACTCTGGTGCAAGGAGATGTCTTCAGCCTGCGTTGCTGCCACACTGCTTGTGATAGCAAATCAAAGCTGAAGTGATACTTACCTTAGGTCTGGCTTTGGATCTACCAGCTGATAAGGAACTCCAGTTTAACACCAAAAATAGGCATATGCTGCCATTTTCCTTTGGGACTAGCAATAAATAATGAGATAGACTAGTTGACCTCAGAGATGGAATATGACTACTTTTTTTTAAATTATACTTCACAGCATTTTTTTTAATGTATTATCTAAGACGAGATCCTCAGGTTTATTCTGAGTAACCCAGTGTCCAAGCTCTTAGTCCACATTTACTCATATTTTCTTGTGGGAATTGTTCAACTCATTCTGTGTTAGTGTTGAAACACAGATTGTTTTATGTTTGAGAAAGAGCAGCAGTGAGTCACTAGTTCACGAAGCAGAGTTCTTATGTCATATATTTTTCTCAGGCATCTGATGCTTTATATAGCTGGAGTTCCTGTCAGTTTGTGTAATGCATCTTGAAAAATCATATGCACTTCTCTCTGCAGGAGACAAGGTTCCTTTGGTAATATACAGCGTGCTGTGGTACACCACTGTCTGGATACTGAGTTGGTAAATGCAACAAGTAAATCTGTACACTCTCCAGCATGGTGAAATAAGGGCAAATCTCAGCTGTGAGAACAGCTTGCAACATATATACAGCAGTAAATTTAGGGAGCTTCTGGTACTTGTTGGAAGAGAGAACTTTTTTTTTCATTGGCTGGCTTTTCCTCAAGCAGAAACCAGCTCCACTGAAGGCTTGAAATAGAAGACATGAGGTGTAGTTTGACTTTTTCCCTTAACTGTTATTTTCTTGTTTGTGTGAGACACTACGTCAGGCAGGGGACAGCATTCCAGTTAATGCTCTTGGTCTGTTCTGCTGGTCTGTTTTTCCTGCATTGGCTGTTTTTCTCCAAATCCTTATTTTAGAAACATTGTACCCACCAGTGTCATGTCATGATGCTTGCAGCAGTTATTGACAAAACTTACAATTCCCAGATCTTTTTAGGAGCAAAGGATGAAAACTGAGCAGTGCAAAATTATGAATTTTGTACTCTATTTAATATATGTGAAAATAATTTTTCTCTTTTTCTCAAGTGTCTTGTCTTTAAAGGTGCTTTTTCTTTCAGGGCAGTTGTTGTGTGTGTATATAAGCCACCAACACTATGTGACAGTTTTGTACTTGAAATAAAGATGCTTTGTGTTTGTAGAACTCCTATCTAGGAATAATACTGAACTCCCCTCTGACTTCTGTATGCTTTCATGGGGAGTGAGCAAACAAATTCACATCAGTAACAGTGAAGGGAAAATATTTTAAATCCAGTGCTGGCTGCCTTGTTTACTAGTGGGAAGTTGCTGTGATCCAAGCAGTACTTTCTGCAGAGTGTACATATTTGGTGAACAACTGTCATTATTTGTTTTTCTTTTCAAGGATTCTTGGACACTGGATTTAAGGACAAGATTGGAAACATTCCTGTCGCTGGCTCTTAAAGCCAGACAGACTCCTCGGCTTCTCACTATATTTGTATCCTTCTAAGAAAACACTTTGCAGATAATTAGAAATACTGTAAAGAGGCAGTATAATTTATTGCAAGAGTGTGCTGCTAAGATTTATTGCAGAATTGCAGTAACATTGCGGTTCAGTGTTTTTATGACAGGAAACATTGTTTATATTCCACATTCAAAAATAAACTTTTGAAAAAGTCATATAAAGACCATGTACAAATCCATATGAACCTACATGCTTATCGTGTGATGATTCTTTGTTTCCATGTATAAATACAGGATACCCAAAGGCACCAACCTGACCTGACTTCTTTTTTAGCATTTCTAAAGCTGTTAGTCTTTTAAATTAACCTCTTCAGGGACTAGCTGAAAATTTTCCAGGGCTTTTAAGGGTTCTAGAAATGATTTGGTCACTCATAGGTCAGCAAAAGATCTCCAGTCCCTAGGCAACATTGTGAGTTTTACACTTATGAGATTTTTATGTATTTATTGTTGATTTATGTATTCTGTAGAGCATCAGGCACTTGCTGTTTGCTGGGATAGTAGGAATATCTAACTTGGTTGAGATTCTCATTCTGAGTCTCTGGAACAAACACTGAAAAGGTGCACATTTTCCTGATCTGCTTTTACTCGTGCAACAGAAGGAGAGTGGACAGTGCAACAAAGGTAAATACTGGGCTGTGGTAAGGAGGTTCTGTAAAATTGTCGAAGGAGAGTGGACAGTGCAACAAAGGTAAATACTGGGCTGTGGTAAGGAGGTCCTGTAAAGTTGTCAGGGGCTGTGGAGATAGTGGGAGGTTTACCTGCAGGGTTGGGGAACCAGTGATGCATAGCAGAAAGTCCTTGGAAGTCCAGACCCCAGCTTTGGTGATAGCTGTTGATAGCTTCTTGAGCTCAGTAAGGTTCCTGCAGTCAGTAAGTATGGGCTAGAAATGGGAAAGGGCCTACTAGTGGGATTTGTATTAAACATCTATTTGGTTCTGAAACATGGTAAAAACAAGTGGAGAACTCCATACAAAGTGCATAGCAGCTTTCTTTTTCTAGTTCTGATGAAAGTAAGTTGCCTCAGATCCTTTCCCTTGCTTCCAGGTTTTATGTCTCATTCAGTTGTTCTAATGGCTGTTTGATGATCTTGGACAGGGTTGATTTTTGTTCCTATTTACTCATTTTGTTTAAATAGTACCTCCTAAGATAGTGCATATTAGTATATCCTGAATAGGAATGTGTTCATTTAAGTGTGACTGGTGGATGTGTTGCATTTTGAGGTAAGCTGCTTATACACACTTTAATGTGTGTGTGTGGCTTGTGGCCCTTTAGAAATAATAATTTCAGCACAGAATCCTGTTAGGTGCTGGTAACACTTGAAACATGTGCCTTTTAAAAATCAGTTCAATAAATACAACTTAGGTTTCCAACTACCTTTCATTGATTTTTTCACTTGACTTTCTGCATATACTTTCTAGTTAGGGATTTATATGAGACCAGTAGGATTCTTAAAATTACTTTTCCTCTTGAGTTATTTTATCTGTAGGTTTATCCTAAGGTTTTACTTTTTTGTAGATTGAATTAAGCAGAAATGTATTCTCCCAGTGTGAGTTCCATGTATTTTCTTTGTTATTTTGTGCTTTGTGTTGTTGCATGAGACTTTCACTGAATAATAGAAGGGCCTCTTGGATTTTTATTTTCTAGAAGTTACACTTTTTCCTTGTGGAGGATTTTCCTGAAGGCAATAGCCCATGCTCTTATTAAAAGGAAATAACTGTGCAATTGTACCTGACTTATTTGGGGCCTAATTAGTTTTAATTTGGGCAGGTTCTGAGCTTTGTGCAGGGACTGTCATGGAATTCAATTCATGCAGGTCAACCTGAATTTGCAGATCTGTTATGTGCCTTGGAGGTTGAGTTAGTTTGGATTTTTCATAAAGGTTATTTGAGGACTGTCCCATATGAAGGTTTTGGATCCAAGAGGTTATTTTTGCAGTATCCTGCTCACATCACATGGGATCCACAGCACTTAATGCTGGAGAATATTTACTTTATCAGTGAAGGGGAGATGCAAAGGGAATTTATAGGCAGCAGATGAATGAAAGCAGTATGGCAGAGTCCTGAAAACACCTTTTGTAAATAGTTGCCAGTCATCAGTCTGACATGCTGAAGTACTTCAGGTTTGGGTGGGGTGGTGTAAATGCTTTTGAGGGTGTCCTGGAGTGCTCAGTGTGTTTACCTTGCCTGCCTTACCTGCTACAGTCTGGCTTCTTACCCATTTGCTAAAAAATTTCAGTTCCTGTATGACTTCCAAAGCTATTTGTGTGGCAGTTGTGCTTAACTTACAGTTCTCCCATATGTTTTCAGTTTGGCTGGAAAGGAAAAAATTGCAGAATGGTTGGCATCTTGCACAGAGAGCTTCAGACCTTCTTTGTGTCCTCTCTGCTAACAGGAACTGAGGGAATGAAGTATTTGGAAGTGTGTTCAGCTGCTGTTCCCTTCACTGCCTCATTACAAATCTGTGGATGAGTTCACAACCACTCTTCCACCATTTTGGGGAGGGGGAAGAGTGCTGGAAGTGTGTCAGGCTCCTGCACTAGAGAAGGTGGAGTGTGATCTACTTGTCTAGAGATTTGCTCAAGTCTGACTATTTATGTGTAAAAATGTCAGTTTAGAATATGGGTAGTAATTTTTAAGCAAGAAGGAGACTCCTGCTTTTCCTGAGAGCAAGGTTTGGTGTCCAACAGCAGCTCCAACAACAGCTTCTCTGCTCAGAGCTCTGCTTCACTGTGTGCAGGAGCTCAGCTGGCTGGATCAGTGCTTCTGGACAAGTATGTGAAGGTGGGCTGAAATTAGACAGAAAGAGACAGAACAAGCACAAGTTCAGGAAACAAGTGTTTCAGGTGTAGGTAAGTTTAAAGGAATCTCTCACTTAGAGAGAAAAGGTTGTCATGGAATTAAGTGCATATGTGTAACTCTTTGGCTGCTTGTAGGAACTGGAGTTAGAAGACTTGACAATTACACACATGAAAGAGCAGGCAAGAATTCTGGTAGAAACCTGCAGTAGTTCAGATGATACCCAGTGCCAGCATCTTCATTTGGCAGAGTCACAAGCTTTACTGTATCTTGTATCTTCCAACACCAGGAAGTTTGTTTTCTGTGCTGTTTTTTTCCCTCTTTTCATCAACATATGAATAATGTTTTTGGTAGGTGTTTGGTCCAGAGCTTTTTTCCCTCCTTGATAAGCTGATCATATGTACAAAGCATTTGTCAGTGCTGGGAGTTGTGTCTGGGAAAGAGAGAAGCCACAGTGTTACTCTGATTCCTGTAATGGTGCAGTTTGATCACTGCTGCGAGATGACATAAATGTCAGCTGAAATGCCTCTGAAAGGTACCATTTACTTTTACCAAATCTGGACTGGGATGGTAATGATTTAACCTTTTAAACACAGAATTTAGTACTAATTTTTACCTGGGCAGGTAGCTCCCTGATTTGTCTGAATGAATGCTGTTAGAGGGATGTGGCAGGAATGCAGTGAGGGAATGGGGCAGCACAGGACCAGCTCTTCCAGCAGCTGTCTGAACTTGGCACAGCTGCTTGCCAGAGATGAGGGCTTCCTGCTCTTTCAGCAGGCAAAGCTTTCCTGACTTTCCCCTTTTCAGTAAAATTACTCAGGTGTGAGAAGATAGTGAGACAAAGTTGCAAGATATGCCGAGACTGTGATTCCTTTCTGACACCCTTTTCTCAGTTTATTATTGAAAATCCCTGGTTTTAACTGCCAAGAGGCAAAATTGGACCCTGTTTCTGAATTTCCAAGACTAGTGTTCATGAGCTGCATTGAGTTTTGGTTATGTAGTTTTTTCCTGCTGACTGCAGTTGGAAGACATATTTTCATCACTGGAAATTCTACCCACTGGGCTATGAAAAGTAAGCAAACTCTGAGAAGGTTTATGCTTTGTGATTTGGTGCTTCCAACTTTCCTCTGAGTGAAAGTCACGCTCTAGATATATCCATTGGAAATTTATTCACAGTTAAATAAAAATATATTCCCATTTGCTCATCTAGGCAACAAAATAAAGTGCTGGAGTAGCTAGTTTTGTGCAGTGGTTGCTCTCAGAATCTTTTTCTAGTTTAGAAAAATATTCTTGTTTTGAAGCTGTATCATATTAAAGCTATGGTAACAGTTTAACAGTAATGGCTGTGAAATAAAAACAAAATCAAAGTTGAATTATTATCATCAAGGCTGAATAATTTGATTGTCTTTGGAAGTCATCTTAACTCTACTGATTTTTAAGTTCATATTGATTGAAATTGAGATTGGTGTAACAGTTTACAGAATTGTAAAAAGCTTAGCAGCTTCAGCAGAATTGCTTAATGTTACTGTTATAGTGGTGTTTTGGTTATTGGTCTGGGTTTTTTTTAAGTGCATTTTGCTGGATTTGAACAGGATCTATGTCTTATTGTTTATAAGCGAGATAAACTGTCATATTGGGCTGTTCAGAATGCTTTATTTTAATCCAGAAAGATTTTCAATCTGTGTGAGGGAATCCTACTTTTGTCTGAAACTCCACAGTCAAGCTGGTTCCTTCCCACTGTTTAACAAAACCTCCTATGGTAAATATTGTGTCTGTTTGCAGATGGGCCTGATGCCACTTTCACAGCACCAAGGCAGTACTGGATTTTCAGCAAACTAATTTAAAACATAATGTTCTAGCAAAATACACAACATCAGCTGTAACAATAGAATTATTGTGCCTCCCTTCACGGTTTTGTCTGGTCACAGAATTCTGCTCTGTGGACCACAGCTCCAGGTTCAGTGCCCAGTTCCATGCAGAGCATTGGCTTGGCTAGATCTGAGACTGGGGTGGAGTACACAGATTCTGGTACTCAGTTTGCTTTTGCCTCAAAAGGAATTGAACCCAAAGGAACAAAATGTATCAGAAATGTAACTTTTTCATTATTCAGATAGAAATGAAGGACAAATTTGAGTTATTTTCAGAAACTTGGGACATCAAAAGTGAACAAGTGAGTTTACCATTAAGCACTAAGTAATGGATCATCCTCTTCACAAATATATTCAGTGATGTTTACTGCCTTATAGTTGTAATGCTACTGTAACTGTGAAGCAGTTGCTTCTTTGGACAATTAAGGCTTAATAAATACTCGTAGGTGTTGCAATGAAATGGAATCTTCCTAGAGGCATGAAATTATCCTTATAAACAAATTCCACACCTCAGAAATTGAGGCTGTCCCTTCAGAGCAGTAAAAATGCTTGTGGGTTCTTTTGTCCTTTTGTTTGAATAGGTGATTTATTTACTATTACTTCTTTTATTATTCTCTTGACAGAAATGATGCAACATCTTCATCAGCAGTTAGTGAAGCGTGAGCACAGGTACATGACCAACCTGAAACGATTGCGCAAGTTGCAGATGGACTACCGTGGTCTCCTTGAAGTCACTGCAGAGCTGGTGGATTCTTTGGAGGCCACAGTCACTGGCAAGATGGTAAGAGATGACCCAGATGTGCACCTGCTTCCACACCCCTAGAAAATGGAGACCAAAGGGTGAATTAAGCATCACAGTTACTAGCATTTCTGTTAGACCTGTGGCTCTTAGTTACTAATAAAACACAGCACTTTGCATGAGCTGTTCTCCCATTGCCCTGGTGAAGGAGGATAAAAGAAGTGCAAAAAGTGGGTTGAATTGTGCTGGCTCAAAAATCTTGAAAAAATTATCTCCAACTCAGAAGACATCTCAGATCTCTTGTGCAAGTTCTCTTTTGAGCTTTGGCAGCAGCAGTTATTAGAGGGCACTTTGGTGATTACTGATTGCAGTCGTGCCCATCAACAATTGTATTTAAAACTTCAGTCACGTCTGTTTTAAATTCCACAGTAGTAGAAACAATCTTCTTATCCAAAATTTTGGTAAGGAAAAGCTTTGCTCTCTGTTCTGCTGAACTGGACTTGTTAATTTAATTGATAAAGGGACCAGGGAGATAGGAGTGAATTAGTTATTCATGATGTGAAATGAGCCACATGTATGTCAGTGGAGGAAGTACAACTTTTTTAGGAGTATTTTTTGTACAAAGTTGATTGTCTTTTTCATGTGTTGTGCTCCTCTGGGAGGTTAAATTCTGTGTAACCTGAAGGCTGTTCTTAGGCAGATGTCAGTGACCTCTAGGTGCTTTTAAAGGAACTGTGAATTGTTAGCAGGGAGAATGGCCTGGCATTTCCTGTGCTGCCTGCTGAAGAGTCAATATGTACCTTCCTCCTGCCATCAGCATGAGCACCATATGGTTTGTTACGCTGCTCTGGGATTACTGCAGGCAAGAATTTGCTTTTGGGTGGATTATGCTTTACAGCAGATTAGGGAAGGTATCTGCTCAACAATAAAATCACCATTCATTTGTTGCCTCCCATTTCACACCTCCGTGCTCTCCAGACGATATCCAATCATGGGATTACTGCAGGCAAGAATTTGCTTTTGGGTGGATTATGCTTTACAGCAGATTAGGGAAGGTATCTGCTCAACAATAAAATCACAGTCATTCATTTGTTGCCTCCCATTTCACACCTCCGTGCGATATCCAGTTGCCCTCTGTGGCCGGGAGCCGGACCCTGGTTCTCTTTGGTTGCGGATGTTGTTCAGTTCCTTTGTTCCAGACGATATCCAATCACCCTCTGTGGCCGGGAGCCGGACCCTGGTTCTCTTTGGTTGTTCAGTTCCTTTGCCAGCCTTGTGCGTGGCACTCATTTGGTGCTTCCCAAGTGTGTCCAGCGGAGGGGGCTCTTCCGTTAGGGATCCTGGATCTGTCATTGCTGAATCCAAAGTGGAGCTGGATGCTAAATAAAGTGATATTGAAGTTACAGCGTTCTGAATTTGAAGGGGTTCATTGTCCTGCTGAAGGTCTGGGAATATCAGAAGTGTCCCCAGTTGCATTTCTGTAATACAGAAGTATTATCTCAGTCCTCTCATCTCTCTTCTGGGGAAGGTAATAACTCTCCTGAAATTAAGCTGTTCTGTTGAAATGTAGATTTCCCAAAACGAAAACACTAAACCCACTGAGATGTTTTGCATTGAAAAACAAAGTTCTGTACTATGTAATTCATATTTATTCTCTCTGCTATACAAGACAGTTGTGTAAGTTCTACTCTTCAGGTAAACAACACGTCAGCATTGTTTCAAGATCAAAACTGCTTCATTTTTTAATTTGATTTGATTTTTAACCTTTTGATTCACAAAAATCTATATGCAAATAGAGGTGTGACAAAATCCAGTTTTCTCCTAGACTCTCTGAAAGTGTTGAGCACTAGTCTGGTGAATAGAATAACAATTCCCAGATAAAGAGAATTTAATTTTTAAAATTTCTGTACAGAATATTAGTTGCAGTACATATCTTGTGCTTGTGTCAGTGAGTCTCAGGTGTGTGATTTCTTACTCTTTAAAAAAACCAAAGAAACAGCCTTTAATATAGAAATGCTTGTCTGATAGAAACTGTAAGTTTTATATAATCCTGTTCTCATTTTGTTTCCTAATTTTTAGATTACACCAGAGTACATTCAAAGTGTTTGTGCTTGCTTGTTTAACAATCATTTGAAACAAACTGTAACACACAACATTGACTTCACAAGGCCTGGAACTGTAAGTATAAATGTTTGGGATTTTTGCAGTAACTGTCTTAAAAGAAATACTAGTTAAGCTACATATAGAACAATAAATGTTCTGTAATGGGAAAGACAAAACATAATGTGTTCAAGCTTGTATAAGAATATGGCAGTACATTGTTTTGTTGATCTCTGATGCTGGTCAATGACCTGGTTGTGTAGTTATAGCTAATTCTGTTATTGTGAGGACAGTAAAATTTATGTCTGTTAACATGCTAACAAAATGCTTTAAATAAGCATTAATCATAAAAGTGCATAGAAACATTTTACTAAGAAAATATTGTGTACCACTGTTCTACAAAGACAAGCCAAAATCATGAACTGTGCTTTTTGTTTTTGCCATGGCAGGCATTCATGTGTACTTAACTTTGTAGCACGAGAACTTTGTGAAGTGTCAAAGGAAAAGCAGAAGAAAATAAAATTCCTGCTTCTTATTAAAAACCTGCCAAGGTTTTTAATAACAATGATGCTATGGGTACATTTTGTTCTTCTTGAAAATTTGCTAGAGAAAGATAAGGAGATAATACAAATGCTTCCTTTTCTTTTCGATGTGCTAATATTTTCAGAGATAAGTATGATTCCTCATTGCTCTTCAGGCTGTTTTAAATGCCCTCACTTTCCTGTTAATGGTCAGAACTCCTTTCTCTGACCTGCCATGAGTTTAGGAGGTGCACTCTTATGCAGCCTGCAAAAGCTGCTGTTTCAGGGAGGAACCAGCATCTGTTTGTCTGTTGCCTCAATATTAGCTTCTGTCTGCTGCTCCCCTCTCCTCAGATTTCTATCATATCCATAGCTTATCTCATCTCCCATCCTGTAATGTCCCTCCTCCCACCCCATCTTTCTTCTAACCAACAGCTTTCAGAGGTCTTTCCTCTTTCCTTGTCAGTGGCTTTTTGAGATAATGCTTTAGGTACCTCAGTGGTCTTCTGTATTTTTGTCATCTGATATTGAAGTTGTGTGTGTTTCTCCTTCCCTGTACTGAGATCACCCATTCTGTACAGCCACATACCCTTTTCTGTCTGTTCCTGCTCTCTGCTTGCATCAAGACTTCTCTTTTTCTCCTGTGCTTTCAAGGTGCTCCATTTCCCCAGGGTTTTGCTTATTATTTCTATTCTTCTTATGCATGCATTGATCCTCCAGTCTCTTGAACCCATTAGGAAAGGGGCAGAGGGAAGAGTGTCATCCTTATGCATGGTTCTGATTTCTGCTTCCCTAAAAGTGTCTCTAAAAGCATTTCTGCTCCAGAAGTGCCTTTGCCACTAGACTTATTGGCACTATGGCCACTTTGACGCAGTCTCCAGCTATGCAGATAGGTTAGAGAAAGAGAATATGTTGGTGGTGGATTTTTTTCCCTGCTGGAAGTAAATTTTTTTCTCCTTTAACTAGGTTAACCTGAGCAAGGCTGTGTTCTCCTGGCACAGTTGTATCTATTTTTATACTAGGCTTTGCTAGCAGAGCTATTTCTGTGTGACTTTGTGGCTCATTTATCCAGGCTATTTGAGGTAGTTGCTGTGACAGCCAAACTCTCTAGTGAAGGACCAGTCCAGTTATAGCCCTGAGAGTGTTTAGATTAAGGGTTTCTAGTTTAGGTCATGCCTTGACACTGAGGTTCTAGCAGCTACTGTGGTTGAACTCTCATGTTGTTTCTATAAGCAGATCCACACAGGCTCTCTGAGGCATTAGCCAAGTTTTGGAGGGCTAATCACAGTCTTTGCATATAGACATTAACTGCATCATAATCAGGTTCCCTCATCCTTTTGTCCTCTCTTGATTTATTATATTTTCTTGTTTACTTCCCAAGTAAAGAGTTCTGGTTTTATACATGAATAGCAAACATGTAGAAACACAAATAAATGTTAGAAGAAAAAATAGATATTCTTATGAAAAGAAAAATGAGATTCCTTTCTCATCCCAGAATATGTCTAACCACTCCCTGGCTTTGTTGATGCAGGAAGCCAGATGAGATCAACTAAAATTCTGACTATTTGCCATTAGGCCACTCAGGCATGCCATTACTTTTTCTTCAAGGATTCAAGTACTTCATTGTTATGCACTCAGATGTTATTGTTCTGCCCTTAAGTGGTTTCAGGTTTTTGCATGAGTTTTGGAATAAAGCTGGAGGCACCGTGACCCAGACTAAGTAGCAGCACGAGTTCACAGCATCTGTGCTGGATTTCTCTTGGAAGATTCATTCACTTTTTGCCCATAACTACTTAGAGGCACTAGAGTGTGGTCTTTCCAGCTACTCCATTTCACAAACCTTCTGCTGTAAGGGGCAGCCAGCTGCATAATTACAGAGAGAAGAGACTAGCAGAGGGGCAGCTACTTCGTTCATCCTTACCTTACTATCACCTTACCTCATTCTGTAGGCAAGATGAGTGAGAGGCTTAAAAAAACTGTCATTGTCTAAAGAGTTTTATCAGCAATTAAATATGGTGGTTTGTCAGTTGTTAGGTTTTTCCCCCCACTTCACCTTGACTGTTCAGGATGATCCTATCTCACTGACATCACCAATGTCAGGACAAGGCCCTGAAATAAATTGGTTCTGCTGGATCAATATCTCTAAACAAATGAGCAGAAAAAGGAATCATCAGCAATGAAATTACTTTTTTTTTTGGTACTGTCACACAGCCTTAAATTTCCACCACTGTTATTTAGGGTATGAGTGGACATGCATTACATAGTTTGGAAAGAGGAAGTGCTTGAGTTCACAGCCAGTCAGGTTTTGGGTCAGGTTCTGAGAGGAGAAAATGCTAAAACTGCATCTTTCTCTGAGATCTGGACTTGAGCTTTAGAGTATATTTTGTTAAATCAGCCACACTGATAGTTTTTAGTTACACTGGGAAGGAGGATTATATGAGTACTGTAAGCAAAATGAAGTATTGTCCAAGGAAATTAAGGAGTATACCTTGGATTATATTCTTGGTAGCATTATTTGTATGCAAAGTTGATTTTATTCCCAGTACATTGTGCTCAACTTTTAATGCTGGAGAAAGTCATATTGTGTAGTAGAAAGCTGTGAGGTCTCAGGCTTTGAAATTACAATAAAGGTGACCTGTATCACTTGTTAATGTGCAAACATCAGCTTCCTGGCTTGCCCTCCACCATGGCTGAAGGTCTGTCCTTTCAAACTGGAAGAAATTTGTATCAGGAGAACAAATCCCACAAGCAAGTCTTACTGAGCTGGCTTTAAGACCTGAGGCAATGACAGCCAAGAGTTTTTCATTGTAATCATACCCTGAAATCTTACTTAGCAAGGGCTTCTAGTGTCAGCTCTGTGTTCTCTCCTGAGCTGGACTGATCTCATTCTTTTGCAGAACAGCTCCATGTCTCTTGCCAGCTCTGTGACTTCCTGGGTCAGCTCCTGAGCCTGATCTACATCCATTAACAGGATGCATCTGCTGCTTGCAGTGGGGGAGAGGTCACACTACTGTGTTACAGCTGGGAGACGTTTCCAAGGCCTCTGAAGCCCTGGTTTACCCTTAGGTTTTTCTCTTAGCTGCAGTTGAATGTTATCTCCATCTTCCATCATGTCATTTGATGTGTCTGGTCCTGAATTGGGAGATAAGAAACCTGAGAGAGTTATCAGAGCAGAAGGTGGGGATTTAAGACAAGAAGGTCAGAGCAGCAGGTCTGACAAGCTGAAGAAAACATTTATTTGAGGAGTTAATAGATTCCTGACTTTTTAGTGTTCCTTTGGATAGGGAACTGATGTGGGTCATGGTAAATTTGAAGAGTATACTTTCAAGTACAGCAATTCCTTACAGGATTATCACAGTCCCTATATTTTTAACACTCTTGAGATAAGTCAAGTTTTAATTTTTTTTACCATTTTCCTTTTCTAGTCTTGATTTGTCTGGTGGATAAGAAGCAGGGATTGTAGTTTTTGATGCCTGCAGTTTTCTGTTCAATACACATCATGAAGCCAAGAGGATTCTGGCTTTTTATCATAAACACAGTACATTCACACTCCACACTCCAAAGTAGCAAAGGCTCAAATCTGAAACCCAAACCCAGGTTTTTTTTGATTGAAGTAAAGTGTACACCTTCCTGGAATATTTTGGATTAGGGATAAGGTAATATGGTTCTCTAAGTTTTGGATTACAGGCAAAACAGGAACTGCTTCTTTAGATCTGCACTTTCTGTCAGTAGTAGAGATGGGTGTAAACCACTGGAGAATCTTTCTGTGACCTGAAAGCTGTAAAGTTGTTTGCATGTATTGCACCTGTGTCATGGATTAGAATAAATGCCCATTATGTTTTTGGTGCTATTCATTCTGATTATATTTACCTGTAGCTACAATTAGCTGAATTAATGTCCCTTGCAAGTTTTGAGTCTCTTTTGATACCACTCTTGAAGCTGTGGAAAAGTGGTGGGATGGGTTTTTTAAGTTCTGTCACTGGACAAAATTACCAACTCCTCTGTAAAGTTAAACTGTCATTTACAAACTGTGAACAAGGAAGATTTTTTTTTTTAATTTTTGGGATAGCTGTAATGACTACTCTGGGCTCTTATTTTTCTTGTACTCTGTGCTTTTTTCCTCAAACTTGGTTTTTACTGCAACTTGCCATCAAGCTGTAATAGTTGGTGGCAAGTATTCCATTTCTTACTTATGAAATGTCTGCACCAGCAGACCACATGAAACCTAGGATGAGGGTAAGTATTTTAGTCTACTTAAGAAGAACATGGCATATTTTGTACTAAACTACTCAAACTGTGAATTAGCACCATTCTTTATTTTAGTAACTGCATACTAGGTTTCCCTCCAGAGACTTTCTTAGTTTATCCCTGGAACCTTTTGGGATGAAGAATTGATAACATTGCTGAAACACCTTAAGTTGTCTCCCTGTCTTTGTTATGTGCTGGTCAGAAACTCCAGTCAAAGCAAGTGTGGAGCATAGCGGCAGGTGCTTTCTCAGGAGCTGAGGTCTTCTGATCTAGGCCATGTTCAGGGTTTCTCTCTTGGCTGCCTCAGTGGAGTGAGCAGCACAGGTCATATATTCCTGTCAGTTTGTCAGTGCTTTGTGTGTAGCTGTTCTGACTCTGACAGTGTGGAACAATGTGCAGACTAGGTGTGTTTGCCAGGTATTGAGAGGAGAACTTCCAAATACATCACAGAAGAGACACAACAATTTCTGTTCTAAGACATACAGGTATGAAGATTGGGAGAACATGTCTATATTTTTCTTTTCAAAGCTAATAATCTGTTAATTTTTAGCTAATTTCTATTGGTTGGGGGTTTTTTTTAACTGTGTATTTCTCTGTGATTTATTTCTGTTAACTTATTTTTTTTTAATCTTCTTTATTTTAATGTGTGTCTGTTTGCCCATAAAGGGATATTACTCTATGAGCCCTTGTGATGACGGATATGTAAGTGTCTATCTTTATTTCCTTTCACGTTGCCTGTTCAGTCTCTCACAGTCTGTATTTCTCTTTATTTCACAATGTGCTGCAATTTTTCCTGCATTTTAACTTGTCATGACACTAACTGTATGGTTTATGAAAAGCCAGAAAATGTACAGAGCTTGGAAATTCTGCATGGGGAATGGAATAGATGTTCTGGGTAACCTTATGGCTTCATAATGCACATAACACAGCATGTCAACATAAGAGCAGCTTTGTCCACAACTTTAACATGAAACTCAGCTTCTTACAGCATGCAGAAAGCAATTATTTCTTCCATGGGATTATCTGTGTATAGTATGCATTCTCTGTGAAGTGTGCCAAAACCAGCTGACCCCCACAACACCTTTGACAAAGCAAATAAATATTATTGCTCAAGATAATCCTGCAAGTTCATTCCCTTCAGAGGGGTGTTGTATTCTGCATATTTGTATTTTTTGTTTCTGAAGTCAAACTTCCTTTCAGTACTAAAGATTATGAAATTCTTTCACACAGTTAAAATGATCCTCTTTCACTGAAAACACAAAATTATATTCTCTGTACTGCCTGTGACTCCTGTAATCCAGATGGAAGTTTGTATTCTGGCAATAGTACAAGTACACCATAAGTATCTAATTTTGCCCATCGTCAGTGCATTCTTTGTGAAGAAAGGAAATGAGTCTACTTCTGAGTAAATCAGTATGTAATCAATTCATAAAAGTGATTGACACCAATTCTGAAAGATGCCAGTCAATTTAAAATAATACATATTTATATTTTTATCACTTTCTTTAAGTTAAACAAGATTTTTGCCTTTCAAGAAAAGCTGCCCAAATTTCAAACATATATATCACCTGGAATTAAAGTAAACCCTTGTGGGCATTCAACTTACCACTTAGAACAACATTTTATTTGGAGAAATAGTCATAGAAATATTGAATGCAATGGACTATTCCTTACATGCTTATTTTTATCTTGATGTAGAGAACACAGCCCACATCCACCTATGGTGAAAGATCACCTGTATCAATCAACCTGTTCCCATTGGTGACATGAATGTTCATAATGGACCCTTTTGCTTGATGTTAAGCATCTTGTTCCTTCATATAATGCTCTGTTTTGAGATTGGGAAAGGTTGATGACAGATGAGCAATTATGAATTAAATGATTTTTTGCTAAAGAAAAACTTTTTCCTTATCCAGATTAGTACAAAGTATTAATTAAATGTAACTTTATACAATGTAGAATGTAATAGCTTACTGTGCAGAGTTCTTTATAAGATTTTTGCAAAGCTATCTGACTCTGATTCTGAGAAATTTCTTGAATATATGGGTAGCTTTCAGCTCCCCTCACTGTTTATGTTAGTATTTTATACTTCTTTCTGACATTTGTGTTGTCATTACATTATCACACAGTATTACTGTGTGACTTTTTAATGTACACATCAGATGTCTCAGAGAACCTGTTTTATATGGCAAGTGGTAAGTTTTCATAAAAGCATATCTCTAGTATAAATAGGAAAAAAAATTAAAAACATTTGCAGACCTTCTTATGAAATAATACTTTGCATAGCCCCAGTAGACCTGCCAGGTTACACAAGCTCAGGGTCTAATCCCTCACAGGCTGCATGGAGCAGTCTTCTTGTTATTAGTATGTAACAAATGAACTCAACATAGATCTGTGAGTTCCAATGATTTGTAGAAATCTGCTCAAATTTTGGTTTTGCTCTTCACATATTCATCACATATCTTTGATTATTAATTCTGAATCTGCACTGAATTTACACTGAATTCTTACAGCACATTTTCAGAGTGGGAGCTGAGGACAGAATCTGACTTTCAGCTTTGTCTTCAGCATATTATGAATATATACATCAAACAGCAAAGGGGATATGGCTTGAATATAGGACTGCAGTATTTGATAAAATCAGTTGTGGTTTTGGCTTGCACATCAAGTGCATCTGCTTTCTTTTATAAATACTGATTTTTTTTTTTCCTTTGAACTTCTTTGTTTTATTCCATGCTGTTCATATTCATGCCTGTCTTTGTTCAAAAATAAAGGGATGCCATCTGTGGCTAATGTGCATCGTGACAGAATTATTTGACTTAATATGGCACCTGGTTTGGCTTTGGCAAGAACCAACACAAACATAAGTCATACCCATGATCCTACCAGAATGAGCTATGCTTGGGCTGTTTTTTCTTGTGTTTCTTTCCTTAAGACACTGAGCTTCTGCATGTTTTTCAGTTATGACAAATGATCCTCTCTCGAGATAGGTTTTGCATGAAATGTATTTTTTTCACTATGAAGTCTATGAGTGTTGGGACATAGGAACGTGTTTGCCACAGGTTCTTCACACTCTGCCTTTCCTTGGCAATCTAAGGTATACTGTCACTCAAAAGGTTAAAATTATGGCTACCCTGTTCCAGGAAAGACTGGGGAAAGGGCCTGGGAGAAAATGCTGAGGAAATAAATCTTGTAATCTAAGAAAAATGAGAAGAGTAGCTACTAAATAATTTCTATTTATGATGATTGTCCTATAAGCATTGAATTGCTTAATAGCAAAATATTTTTTAGCTCTTGCACTCTGCCATTCATTGGTAGATCTCAAAACCCAGCTTGTTCAAGAGATTGATGCCTGTGTCTGCTTTTCAGATGAGAAAAATTGAGGCCCAGAGACATCAAATGATGTGTTTGGATTCTGTCTGCAGTTGGTGGCTGAATCAGGACTGGAAATGTATCTCCTGAGCCAATGTCTTACTCAGCATGCCACAGATGCAGATTAGCTTACTTGTGACTAATTGCAATCATGCAGATGAAAAGGAAGAAAGGAAACCTCTGCCTGTAACATGCTTGCATTTTTTCTGTTATCAGTGGTGCTGGCCGTAGTCAGATTGAGAAATGACAGTGCAGTGAAGAGCAAACTAGCCCCCAAAACTTTCTCCATTCCTGTAAGGCCTTGATAATTGAACCTGATGTAATGTGAACTTTTTACTTATTGCTTTCCCAGAAACACCAAAAGCCTGAAAGAACTTCCTTCCTCCTGTGCAGGTTCTAAACTGATAAACTGTCTCTGATCAGCAAAGTGAACAGAAGTTTTTCCAGCTCAGTGGTTCTGCCCTCAGAGCCCCAGTGCAGGGCCTGCCTTACTCTCTGCTGCCTTTTTGGTGTAGGAAGAGCACAGAAGGAAACCATACTAAATACCTTGCTGTGCTCCATCAGCTGGCTTAAAAAGTAATTTGGGGATTAATGGAACCTTGTCCCATTTGATCTGAATGTTTTTCCAGTTGAAGTTTCTGTAGTTTGAAATTTCATAAAAGCTTTCAAAATCCTACACTTGCCAAAAACTTTGATTTATGTAGAAGAGTGATATGTGCATCTTAACCAGTTATCCTCTGGTTAGATTTTGGTTGGAGCACGTTTTTCTAAGACAGCAAAGAAGTGCATTAAAAAACCCTTTATTGAGAAGCACAGAATCTTTATATACATCTTTATAGCCCTAGTGCCCTGCTCTGTTTCTTCACACATTGCTATTCTCTGTTTGACCTTCCATCTCCAAGGGCTCTGCAATTTTTTTTGCATTTAAGTCACTTTCTATAGTGACTTTTTGCTATAGTCACTTTCTTCCATTTCCTCTAATGGACAGAGGAGAAAGATGCTGACAGAGGCAACGAAAGTGATTTGTGATTTAATTGCACAGCAGCTATAAGGTTTTAGGTTTTGACTGGGAAAACAGTTTTGTTTAAATAAAATTAACTTTTTATACATATTGAAAATGCTAAGGATAATGAACAAGGGCAAAACAGTCTAGGGGCAGAGATGATACTTAGAAAGAATTTTGTATTGTGTAAGATAAATTATTATGTGAGAACTGCTGGTCCAGACAGTTTACTTTTGAGGTGTATGACCTGTTTATAAGTCATTCATTGACATGATATAAAATGCTTTCCAATGTGCACATAAGCTTATTTCACATATAATAGAGCAGTTCCTTGTATTACAAGGATATCCACAAGGTTGTTTTCAGGAATATGTCAGTTGGTGTAATTCAATATTCTCTATGGTATTTCATGCTTTTTGTCTCCTAAATCCCACCATTTTAAATCTGACAATGGACATTGATTATATAGTTCCCATTGAAAGAGGCTCAGTTAGGAGAGAAGACCAGTTTTACAGGCATAAGTGGTAATCAGAGATTTTTAGCAGAGAGATCAACACAAAGAGGTGACATTGAATATTCTGCAAATACAGCATGTAGTTGACATCAGAATGCATGACATGAAGCACTCTTATGCCAGAATTGCTGCTTCTTTGCTTACCTCCAATGATACTCACTGAGGCAGACAACTTTCATGTGGAACTTTTATGTGGTGTTGGTGTTCCTGGTTGTGCAGTGGTGCCTGCACAGGCACTGTGTCACGCTGCAGAGAAGAAATATCCAGGATTTAATTATAATAACCTAGGCAGAACCACTAAGAAATGGCACACTATTTCATACTGGTTTTATCAATACCAGAATACATAGTCCTGTCTTTACATATTAATAATTATATATAGGGGTATATTTTGGTAACAGCAGCACTTGATAACATTAGTGTTGGAGCAAAGAATTACAATAAATTTATATGCAGGAATGCATGCTGGGTCTCCAATGAAATATTATTGCAATTTTAAAGGTATAAAAATTTATGAAGTCAGTGAATGTGCTTAGCAAGTTCTTCATCTTCCTCAGCGGGCTCAGATAGTAGTTTCTATTCATTTATTATTATTATTATTTTAAATGCTTCAAGCATAGGTAATTTGTGGACTGTGTGGGTGAGGATAATATAGCCAGATCATAACAAAAGAGATTTTGACCTGTGAAATACTTTAAGGGAAAAGAAAGATAAACACTGAAGTGCTCTTTCTTTAGCTGTGTTTCTGGTTTACAGCATGGGTTTTTATAGGAAAAGAACTGCAGAATCTTAGTGAAAGAATTCACTTTGGACCTCATTAATAACATTATGTGAAATTTAGACTTGTATGCTGTAATTTCCTTTTTTCTTTCTTTTTGTTATTCAGGCTTCCACACTGTTAAGGGCATCTTTATCCTCTATGTAAGTATTTGTTGCTGAGCTTCATTTCTGTCTGTAGAGAAGAGGAGGGGTTTGTAAACTGAAGTACACACTGCCAGTTGTCTGCAAATGGGACTCACTCCCCTGTGCTTCCTCTGATCTCAGTGAACACTGATGCAGATACTGTGTGATCAGTGTTCTTCTGCTGAGCAGCTTCAGTAATGTTCTGATTTCAGCACAATGTTGTTAATCCAGTAAATCTGCCATTCCACACATATGAGGTTGTTTCTGTATTTTTAGAGTTTCCACATATTTCAGTCCTGTTGTTCTAATTGGTTTGATTCTCACAACTCCAGGAAAAGGGGCAGGCACTAATATGGATTTTTGGGTTCCTTTAATTTTTTTGTGTCTGACTTAATAAATTTGGGCTTATAATACTAAATAGAAATGGTATATTCAAGGTGAAGTTTTATTAAATTTTTGAGACACTTTTAATCCTGTTGTTTACAAGATAATAAATGGGGCAATTATACATAGGACATAAAATTTGTTTTGAAAAGTGGTAGGATGGGAAGATAGTAAAATATTTTAGTGATTTATATTTAAATATTAAGATTAAAACATTGTCTGAAAGCAGTTTTCTTAAGGGAAACTTCTATTGCAGTGTTAAATTTCAAAACAGCAAGATAGTATTGGTGCATAGAAAGTAGTCCTGTATTAAGTCTCATGTTAAGTGAACACACTCCAGGCTATGAAAATGCATTCAGCCCACACCACCTCTGCTTTGGAGAAGATATTTCTGTGTACATAAGGGCTTGGAGGTGGAGATGGAGCTGCAGCTTTGTACTGCATCTGTTTCTAACTGTGTCAAGAGCCTTGAGCTGCTGCCCTCATGCCCTTGTGGTCCAGTAGGGGAGGGGAAAAAAGGATGTTACTGTACTGTTTTGTGCCAGTAAAAATCCCAGATTATCAACTGTCTTGTCAGTTTAATGTCTGCAGGTTATGATGGTAAGCAAGCTGCATGCATAAGTAAGAAATAACCCCAAATTTAACAAGTCTGTTGTTATAACACTATAATAGCAACAAAAGTAATAGAAGTGTGAAAATGTGGAAGTTCTTTTCCTGAAGCAGACTTCCTGTTTTGGCTCTTCTCACCTCAGTAGCATCAGCTGCACTGAACGAGGAGAGAAAGTTTTGATGAGTGTCTTTTCCTTTAGGAAGGTGCAGGATGTGCCATTGCTGCCCTCTCTGGATTATGAGAAGCTGAAGAAAGATTTGATTACAGGGAGTGATCGTCTCAAGGCCCTCTTACTGCAGGCTCTGCGCTGGGTAAGGACAGGGAGGCATCACAGCTGAGATCCCTTTTGCAAACAAGATCTGGCGATGAGTTCAACGTGACAGGCAAATTCCTGTTGGTGAAGCTTCCTAAAGCTGTTGAGATGATGAAGGCAGCCCAGACAGGAGGTGTCTATTTGTAGCATAGCAGTGTCCTTTTCATCAGAGGAGAGACATTACAATTGCAATTACATGAGCAATTCCCAGATTTCTGCAATATTCAGTGGAAATAATTTCTGTCGTGTTTTCAGTTCCTTCTTCCACATATCATTTTGCTTTATATAAATACTGCTGTATCCAAGACATACCCGACTCAAATCACCAGTTTTGCTTTATAATCAAGGTATTTTATAGGAACCTACCTTTTGGTTGACTTGGGTCCTGTAATGACATTTCAGAAAAATTCCAGGTGACAACAGGAAGTTACATTTTCCTGCTGAAAAGGAAGCTGGTGTGTTCAAAGTGACAGTCACGGAAGATAACAGTGGAATTCTGATAAAGTTTCAGTGTCTGTTTTCACATAAAAAACAGATTGTTTGTTCTGACAAAAAGTACTTCTAGCCCAATGCTCTGTCTCAGATGTTTAAGAAAAGCACTGCATCTGTAACTTAGAGGAGCTTTTTTAACTTTATGAGAAGTAATTCTGTATCCTTCCTGTATGGACAGTGATGAGAGCTCCCAAGTAACAGTTTTGTAATGGATCACAGAGCTGAGGTCAGCTCAGTTCATTTAATCTCTTCCCCTTAGGTCACTGAGGTTGAATTACTGCTCCCCATGAAAGAGGTTCTCAGCCACAGAGTATCAGCACCTTTAAAATCTCCAGGGGTCATCAATCTGTAGTTTTGGCTTTTTGTGGGTTTTTTTTTACTTGTTTATTTATGTTGCTATTTATTTTAGCGCTTGACAACATCATATCCTGGGGAACAGAGAGACACTATCATGCAAGCCTACATCAGTAATGACCTCCTAGATTGCCACAGCAACTGTCAGGTCAGCCGAAACTCAGTTGTCAGTTGTCCAATTTCTGCGTGATATTGCTCTTTTATATCTATGAAGTGCTGATCATATAATTTTATTGCTCTCTAGAAGAGGAGAAGAAAAATGTAGTAGGTAGTGCCAAAACTGGGTGATACATTTAGTTTCTTCATCCCAGTCTTTAAATGTTGATGGCAAAGCTTTGCCTTACAAGAGCTCTTAGTGTTGACACAGTTCTTGTAGACAAATGGAAGTTTATCACCTCCCTGTGCTTCACTTCTGTGAGTTGAAATGAAGCCTGAGCCCTTTAAATCTTGCTTATCAGATGCTGTGTCTCTTTTTGAGTGATTGTGTATTGTTTAATAATACACTCAATTCATTTCACTGATCTACGATAAGAACTAAATTAGCACTTTGGTCCCAATGCCACTATGGAATGTGTCATTGTGCACCTGCAATGATCAACTGTGTTTCTGTGAATTTGAGGTGGATTGGCACCTTTCTTTAGAAAGGGGAATTGCTGGTGTGTTGATTTTGAAAAGTTGTTTCAGTCCCTGATAACCGAGTACCATTGCTAAGAAAAGCACAACTTTTTTCATTGATTGTAGTGATTTCTGTGCATAATTGAGTTCGAGGCACTTGAGCCTGCTTGGTTTGTTGTGGCTTTATTGTCTTTGCAGCAGTCTCTTGTACCACTAAGAAATGTAAAGGATTATTAAATCTACCATTAGTTTTTCTCCCTCTAAATTTCTGTAAGAGGGAAGTTATATGTAAAGCCTGAAATAAAACAAATAAGAAGTCATTTCAATGTGATGGTGTTGGTAAGTTGCTGAGCTGCTTCCCATGCTCTTCATTGTCAAAGAAAAGCATTCCTATTCAGGTAATATTACTACACTTAAGTTTGTCAACAAAGCTAAGTTGTTTGGTTTGTGGGGTTTTTTTGTCACTGACTATATATTAATTTTAGGTACCATCTTCAACTGGACTGTATTGGCTCAATATAACTTCCACTCTAACCATGGAGTTTAATGGTGTTTTAAGAGACTCAGATGAGAAGCTGTAATTTGCCTATTTGTTCATTTTCCATCTCTCCTACAGCCCCCCACCAATAAAAAAAAGCAATTTTACATCATATTGACAAATCAGTATGCATCCAAAGGGTTTATGTTTTTTCTGTGTAAGTTTAATGAAGTTTTTAAAACATTATAGAAGACTAACTTTTGTGATTTATTAACATCTGCTTTCTTTTTCAGAGAAGTGTCCTCCAATTACTATATTCTAAGAGTGAGGTGGTCAGACAGTATATGGCAAGGCTCATCAATGCTTTTGCTTCACTGATAGAAGGTAAAAGATTCACTGCAAAAAATAAGATAGCATTTACATGTAATACTGTCTTATTGGTGCTTCACAAGTGTATGTCTCTGCATATGGAAATTCAGAGCCTTATTTGCACCCTTTTTCTAATGATTCACTCTCTTTTGTAGCATGCATTCAAAACTGCTTTTCAGTATCTGGAAAGTTTTTATTTTGACACTGTATATTCAGTATTTCTGACTTGTTTTGATGATTTGTGATCTGTGTGGGAACTTGCTCAGATACTGCCTTTAATATAGTCTTCAGTTTCTCCATGAGGGTTAAAGACAAAAATCCCCATTAATTAAGTTTCCTGTGGGCAGACCTGCTACCAGGTTGTGCAGTAGTAACTACTGTGTCTCCTGCATTTTTGTGGTCCTCACCTGAATAAATCTTTGTGCATCACTGCTAACAATCCAGATGTGTATATATCCAGCTTTCTATCTCTGCCTGTCCCAAATTAGCTCTTGGTTTGCTGCTATTTTTGGAGCTAAGTATTGCTACGTGCTGAAATCTCATTTGAAGTCAATAGCAGGAGGGCACCTGACTTTCCCAAGCTCCTTGGACATTTCTGTTCTTTTTCTTGATTGTACAAAACTGCTAGATCAGAAAGCATATACTGAAAGTGGATTCTGTGTGGTACTGATTTGGCAAGTGTGGACCTCTTATACCCATGTGTCTGGGTTGAATGCCACTGGTCTGCTACACGACTTTGTGCAGGTTTGTTTGGGTCTTGGCACAAGTTTGTGGCTTGTCAAGAGGAAACTGAGGTCAATACTGCTTACTTTTCCAAAGAGAGGAAGGTTTTCTGTCATAGCTGCTATCTCAGCATCTGTTCTTTCATCACTTTTTGCACCAGGTCGTGCCTACCTTTCTCAGAACCTAACATTGCTGCAAATGCTGGAGGACAGACTGAAAGCTGAAGACAAGGATTCCCTTACATGGGAGAATGTTCTGGGGGCTCTGCAGAAATTCAGCCTCAGGTGATGAAAGCACAGCGTGTGGTGGTGACAGCAGGGGAGGAAATGCAGGCTAGTTAGGCTCTGTTCAGGGAGGAAAGAGGAGCACTTGATTTTCCCATAACAATCATCAGAACCCCTGATGGCTGATGAAAGCAATGTCACTTATTATGGAGGAGAATTCAGTTTTGCTGACTGAATTAACCTGAGTTCCTACCAGCTGTCAAGGCCCAAGTAAATGTACATCTCCTGCCACAGCCTTGTGTGCTTTGTATGTGTTCCTTAACTGAAGAAAGTGAAAATCTTAACGCAGAAAGCTCTGACGATCGTACACAGAAAAAAAGAGTTGTGGTACATTCCAAAGCATAAGGTTTTCATTATCCTTTCTGCAAACATTTTTCAGGGATTTCATCTTTATCCTGTTGACCCCCTTTCCTGGAGCTGTCTATGCACAGGCTGTCTTGTTTCTTCCTTTTGCATTAGCAGTCTGACTCAAGTGCCCACCACAAAAGATATACGCAAGAGCAGTAAAGGGCGTGCTCTGTTTATCAAGTAAATGTGATCTGAGGCACTCTGTTTTCACAGCAGTCAGGAAGAATACTGAAAATTTGAAAGCTTTTTATTTTCTAAAGAGTAACAATCTTATAGAAGGTTAATTTAGATACTTGACATAAGGGAAACTTTTTTAATATGCGGTCAGATGCTCCCTTGTTTTGCTTAGTCCATGCCATAGACCAGCTGCAATATCCAGCACTAAGAAACACATGAGCTTTCAGGACCAAAGCCAGGAAAGCACCTGCTTTGATCTTTGCAGTTTAAATACAATGCTTCTTGGAAATAATGTTATGAAAAATTCTGTTCCTCAGTAAGACTTTTCTACCAGCATATACTTCTCCTTTTGTATTGTAGAGTTTTTATTGTAGATCACAGTTGACCACCTGGCACTTTATTCACCATAGTCTTTGAGAGAAATTACAAGTTGAATTAAAGGTGCATGAGATTTAAAAATCTCTAGAGAAAATTGCAGATAGATTCAAGCAAAAAACCTCATTTGTCAAATTGGCAGTACAAAAGTGCTACAGTGCTATGGCTACCTATGACAGAAGAAGTAATTAATTTGTTTTATGGATCTGTTGTGTGTGGCTGGCTTTTAAAACTAATTTAAAAAGACAATTGAAAATGCCATTTTAGCTGGAGTAAGAAGCCCTAGAGAACAATGAAGAAATTTACCTCAGCAGTTCACAAGTTTAAAAAGAACAAAATAAAACAAAACTCCCTGATCTATCCAACAGTGTTTTAGTCCTCTAACCATATGGGAATCTGCATCTTCAGTTTCTTTGGGCTTTGTTAATTATTTAGTTTAGTGATTCTGCCAAAACAGGTAGTTTAGGGATTTTTTTTTCTGCAGGTTGGTGTATTTTTAATGTGCTTTAATGTACTGGCTATAAATGCATATGAAAGCTATTTATGTTGTGATCTGACATTTGTGATTTGTGATCTGGTTTTGTTTTTTAATCCTAGGCGCACACTGCAGTCAGCAATGATCAAAGATGGGCTCATTTTCTGGCTGGTTGATGTTCTGATAGACCCAGATTGCCTGTCTGATTACAACCTGGAGTATTGTGCTGCCTTGCTCATGAATCTTTGTCTGAGGAGTGCAGGTGTCTTACATTTTGAATTGCAACCTTATTCCAAGAAATAGATAGGGAAGATTGTGAATTTTTTTTCCTGTTTTACCAGGATTCTTTCAAGTGCATATAATCAGTAGCAGGAACCACAAACAGAGATATTTGAATGCTATAACCAATGCTTTTGAGCACATCTCTTTTCCCAAGAATTCTAATTATGGGAATTCTAAAGAATCAAGCAATGGCACCCTATAAGATCTGATTATTTTTTATATTAGTATGTGAAGGCTGCCATTGCTACATTCAGGCCCACTTTTCAAAGTACACATTGTGTCCATTTACAGACTCTGTGTAAGAGATTTCTTTGTAAACAGAAAGAACTGGGTTGAGGAGTAAGGGTGAGGAGCTTAACCTTCACCTTGCTTTCACTTCTACAAAGCAGAGATTCCCCCCAAGAAAATAAGATCCTGTCTGTGTCCAAGAGACTTAAAAAGAGCATAAATTAAATTTCCTTTTAAAAAGGAAAGTAAGGTAAGGGTGAAAAATACTCTGCTTCTTGTAAGCAAAAAATGGCCTTTGTTAAATTTTTTAATCCCTTTTGTGTTGCATCCTGTCCAAGACTACAACTTCACTGATTTCAACTCAGTTATGCTGAACAGCATTTGTCAGGAACAAGAAACAGTATTGCTCTGTGCAAACTATATTTAATACCAATTCTAAAAAGTAAGAAAAGTATTGCTCTGTGCAAACTATATTTAATATTTAATATTTAATACCAATTCTGAAAAGTGAGAAGGAAACTTGCTCTGATATGTTCTATTTTTCAAGCTTATTTATGTGTTCTGCCTTTGCAGGGAAGAAAATATGTGCAAGTATCCCAAACCCCATGCTCAGAGTTCTTTCTGGTCTTCTTGACCATGAGAATCCTAAGGTATTTGTACATCAAACTTTGGGTTAATGAAAAGGTGGAAAGAAAAATTTAAAAAAGAAGAAAGAAAAAGATGTAAAAAGTAAATTGGTTTTGTTTCCTTTATTAGATCCTCGTTAATTAAGTTGCATGAATTTTGCCTAAAATTCACAAATGCATATATTTTATTTTGGTGAGCAGAGGTCTTTCTAGACAAAAGCATGTCTTGCTTTAACAGACATTGACAGCTTTGGATGTAGTTACCATGCAGTCCGTGTGCTTTGATTACAGTTTCTGATGCTGCTTAAATGTCATGCACCAAATCACCTCAAGCTTGACTGTTCATGAGATGAACAATGTGTGATGCAAACCCATTATGCAAAACATCAGGTGCAGGAGAACACATTTGCTGTAGTTGTAAGGAATGCTTTAAGAAAGTAGTAGACTTGTGACATTCATGAAGCTGCTTTGGCTTTATCATCCTGCCTGAGGCTACAGTGCTTGAAGCCTGTCTTGAGTTCATGCTGGCAGGGACTTTTCCCTGTTCTTTGTCCTGTTTTTTGTACTGCTATTAGTGTTTGTCAGAAATAGACCTTTTTCTGCTTTTCTCTCTTTCTTTTCCTTTATATTTAATTTTATTTATGGCTAGGTCAATTTGTAAAAACACATTATCAGAAGCAGGGGGGCTGTTTGGGAAATTGGCATGCAGCATACTGGTTTAGATCAACCATATCACAGTATATTTGCTTCCTAAAAGTTCTCTGCTTTCCATGTGGGAATTTTTGCTAGTCCAGTCTAGCCTGGTTAAACTCTTTGAAGTATAGTTATTTTATACTTTTGTTCTTATATTTTGATTGTCAACTGAGAAAATTTAAGAGTTTTTCTTCGTGGTGTTACTATTTCTTCCTCTTAGGTCCAGTCATATGTGAATGGAGTGCTGTACAGTATTCTGGCCATCCCTTCTGTCCGAGAGGAAGCCAAAGAAATGGTAAGAAGTGCTGCTTTGCAGAGCGTGAAAATCAACACCTCTGCCAGAGATGGCCCAAACAGGGACCTGCTGAGCAGGGCACAGCAGGGCTGTGTGGTGGCAGCCAGGGCATTTTGAGAAGGGAACCCACAAGAGGCCCTTCCCCTTTAATCCTCAGGGAAGTATGAATGTATTTCTCAAACACTTGTGCCATGTTTCCAGCTCTTTTTCCCAGGAGTGGAGCCCCAGTAGAGTGAAGGATTCTGTCTGAATTCTAAATGAAAGGTGATATTTTAGAATTGTGTGTCCTTCTAGCATTTTGTAGACTCCTCGTGGCCCCAAGAGATGCTTTCATCTCACCTGCTACTCCTTCCCTTTATTCTGCACCAGTGAGTAGCCACTAAAAGGAGTTCTCGCTGCATTTCTTTCTGCCTGGTATAGACATGGTTATTTGGGGAAGGAGCAAGAGGACGGTTTCAGAACTAGGAACTGATTTCCTGTGAAAGTTAGTCTAATGGTAATGACTGTGTTTCAACTTCTGTGTTTGAGGATGCTGCTCCTGGGATAGCAGCATGTCTTTGTATCTTAAAAACTAACCCAGAGAGTTATGGAGACATAATTGTTGTCAGATGTTCTACCTCACAGAGCACAGAGGATTGGAAGTGATCATAAATGCTTAAAGACACAACATCAAGGCTATAGAGCCATGAAGAGAGAGACCAGGTTTAAAGCCAAAGCTGGTTCTGCTTTCTGCTTTCTTTCTCTGAATCTTGCACTGTTGTCTCTGTGGATGTAAATTTTACCCTGTTCTGATGACTATTGTGTACTGAATTCAGAAGGCAAAAGCAACAGATCTATTGTAAAAATTTGCTGTTCATCATGGACATGTCTCTGTTTGAGCCTCGAAGCAATCTAGAGAGCGTATTTCTTTTGTCTGTGCAACACTTGGAGCTGGACACTGTGGTTTGCTTCACACTGCCTCTGTTTTCCCTGACCAAAAAAAAAAAAGATATTTTAGCTAACAGATCTCTGTCATTGTGGTGACATGAAACACTGATCTACCAATGTTTTCTGCTACATCCAGGGAATGGAAGAAATTCTGCGCTGCTTCATCAAGGAAAGAAATGAAGAGATGGTTCGACAGATGGAATTTGTTATCAAGCAACTCAATTCAGGTCAGACCACAGGCAGCTATCAGAGTTTTAAATCTTTCACAAAAACCATAAAAAAGCTCATGTTTTTACTTGGCATTGGAACCCTCAAAGAATAACAATAGTGTGATGGTCTGAGAGAGGGTGAATAGCGAATGTCAGAATTTGAAAAGAACGTATTTTAAAATTTCCTTTATGTTGTAGTAATAAAGAAGAAATAAAAGGCTCAGTAAGACACAATTCCAAAGTTTTGGGATTATAAATAAAATTATTTTGGTTGTTTTCTTTCATGCCAGTGATCTGATGGTAATGAGAGACTGCTGCCAACTGGAAAAATGCAGTAGAAATTTATAAAATAGGATTAGGGACTAGGTCTGTCTGTGCTCATCTCTTGCTCTCTTGAGGTGAAATGGCTCATCCTGAATAGGAAGCAGACATCATTCTTTTTGGAGAGGATGTTGATGGGTCATCAGAGTTGTAGATGCTGTTACTATAGACAGAGAAGGTGGAATATTTATTCCATTTTCTGTTGCCTGTGACTGAAAGGAAGACTGAAGAAAGAGAAAGCAAATAATGAAAAGGAGATTAGTTCTGGTTGCATCTTTCTGTACAGTAAGCATAGAACAAGTTGAACTGCTCTGTTTGGCTTTTGGAAAGAGAACACAACCTGTCTTTTTTTTGTTGTTGTCATTCTTTTACAAGCTAGAACTTGTAAAATTTCTAGCTTGTAAAAGAACAAATAAAGAATTTAAGCACTGTATTGTCACTATACAATATTTGTTCATCAAGGTTATAGAACCACTCCTACCTGAAAATGGCATTTTTAAGAGCTTTTTTCAGAGTCATTGATGAGTACAAGTTGTGTTTTATGATTTCCAGTGTAAGCCTGGCCACTCTTTTCCTGAGGAAATAATTTTGTCCAAAACTTAAAATAAGTATTCTGCATGAGTACTAACTTTTTATGTATGAAAACAGTATAATATTAAAGTATTTGTAGGGAGAAGTAGAGTCTCTTATTAAAAAAATTTGAAAAATAGACAAACTTGCAAGTGCACACACTTTCATACAAGTCTTGTCAGTAAATACAGGGAGATGTCACCAGGGACATGAGAAAGTAACTTTTATAAGAAAGTAACTATTCCAGAGTGCCTCTATTTCTGCCATTTTCCAAAATATTAATTGATTTCAGTTTTTTCTAGTAGAATGCTTATTAGGATCAAATTATTCCAACAATTGTCCTGAAATGACATGTCTGTATGAGAAGCAGGTTAAATCTTGCTCCTGTAAAACTGAGGTAATAATGAGATCCTGTTAAGTTGTACACATGCATCTTAACTAACACCATTTTGTTTTGCTTCTTTCTAGAAGAGCCATTCAATGATAGTATTGTGTCTGATGATGAGGAGGAAGAGGAGTATGAGGAAGTAAGTAAAGGCTTTCTGGATCTTTTAGAAAAATCCTTAACTTTCTAGAAAGAAAATATTTGTGTCAATAAACCAGATGTTGGTTTTCTGATTTTGCTTTTGGTTTTTAGATTTACTTAATTATTCTTACATTAACAAGGAAATTGGATCTGTTTCCATACCTTTTCTTCAACTCACCACCTCTGATAATTAAAGGATTGTAGCTTGACATGAGTGAAGAGAAGGGTTGGCACTTTTTCTTAAGGTATCATTATCTATTCAGGGTGTGACTTTATTTGCTGTTTAAAAACGTTGAAATGTATTTAGTAAATTGCTGGAATGTAAGAAAGCGAAACAGTTATTACAAATAAGGAATAAGTCCCATGAGAAAATAAATTAAGCAAGAGAAACTGTGTCATAGTAAATATAAGCTGATTAGCTTTGTATTTCCTTCTCTGCTAATAAAAGCATTCCACACCAGTATTTCAACATCTTTTGAGAAGCTGTCTTCATAGAGCCATGGGTGTAGACAACACAACATACTGGATCACCTAAATTAACAACCAAAGCAAGATGTAAATCATGTGAGGGAAATGTTGTACCCAGTCTTCACTGGTGGTGTTGCCATTTCTGCATTGCCCTAAGTGCACAGTGGAGGCATGAAAATACAGTGTCAGCAGTTACGTGGGAGTTTTATCTTGAGGAAACCTATCCCACTGCATTTTTATTGAGAAGCCTTGCTTGAGAAATTTAAAACAGCTATAGAAGATGTCCTGCAAGCAGTATTTGTGCATACTTAGGTGTGTGTATGTGTGCAAATACATCATAGCATATGTTTGGCCCTGAAGAAATCAGTGACATGGAGGGTGAGTGAACTGCAAAATGTTCTTGTATTAGAAGTGTTACTGCAGAACAGATTCACTGAAAACCATGCTTTTAGACTAAATACAAGCTTTTTGTCCTGAACCAACAAAGAATAAGACAGATAAAACTTAGTTGTGTGCACAGTCTACTAGCTCATTGCACATTAACAGAAATGACAGGGACTGGGGAAAACCAAGTCTAATTTTTTCCTGTTACTGCAGCATGACAGAATGCATTTTCTAGTGCACATTGACCTTTTACTGGTTTGAGAGCAGATAAAAAATGCAAATATCCTGACTGCAACAGGTGTGGTGTGCTCTCAGCTGCTATGGGTGCAGCATCATGCAGGATCCAGGCTTTGCCTGGCAGTGTCCAGGGGGGCCTTGCACTGGTTGCATTATTTATCCACTTCTTGTGTTGTGTTGTGTTGTGTTGTGTATACCTTTTGTGTTGTGGCACAATAGGTGGCGAGCTAATAATCCCTTTGCCTAAAGTTAGAGCTATGTGGAAATTCTAAGTTTAGAGCTAGAAAATAAGTTTTATTTAACAATCAGCTCTCCCCTTTTTATTCTAAGGGGAGAGTTCACAGGGAATTCTAAGGGAATACAGTAAACTTTTTTTTGTCTTGTAGGATTATGTTATTGTAATTGTTTCACATCCTGCCATCCTGAAGTCTGTTTTTATAATCTTTCCATTCCTCCAACCGAAAATCAATGCTTGTGCTGCAAGATGGGCTTCCTGGAGATTAATCATTAAAAGTTCCCTTTGCTTAAAATGCTGATTAACACCTTTTAACTGATGTTTCAAGGCTTTGAGTGTCCTGGGTGAGTGGTGAGAATCCAAGGTCATGATACCTTTGCTTGAACTCCAGTATACTTTTTTAAAGGATACTGTGTTTTGTTGTGAAAACACATGGATAAGGAGCTCGTTCCTGAAAGGTGTGGCTTTGAATTGCATGATAATGTTCAACACTTCCATCACTTTACCTGTTCCTGGGAATGAAAGGAAGGTGAAGTCTCCTGTTCAGTCCTACCCCCTAGATGAGTTGCTGCTGCTTTACAATCCCAGCAAAGGCTCTAGGTGAAATCCTTTTGAAATGTATTTTTGCCACTGGACCATCATGTGATTAAAATGGACTTCTTGCATTTCTTATTATTTGACTCAAAAAATAACAGTAGGCTTTTGTGTCCAATTCCAGTTTTTCATTAGCTTTGCCATTATATTAAAAAGAAAAGCCAAATTGTAACATTAATTGCAACACATTCTGAATCCTCATTGCTGCTGGGAACTATAATTCTGTTCTGCTACAAGGACATCTGGTTTCTTAGTCCTTCAGTTTAGAAAATATAGTTTACAAATATCATGGCAGTAATGCATAATGTCATTACTTTGTTAAATAAACAAAGATTTGTTGACTCACTACCTCGATCCTTGGAACTCTTTTGTATTTTGGAATTGCAGTGAGTTATTGTTCTCAATGGTGTTCTGTGATAACATCTGATGTTGTGATCTGGCAACAGAAAGCTTTGGAAAATCTTATCAAAAGTCTTGCTTTTATGTAACTTTTAAACTACTACAGATTGAATACATTTCAGGATACATCCATGTATTGCCAATTTTGTCAATTTAGTGACATGCTTTCAGACTGCTTACTGATGTTGTTGTTAAGTACCTTTATTTATACCTTTACAACTTAAGAAACAACAAAAAGACTCTCATGCAGCCTTAATTTGCAGGTTTTGCTCCAGCTTTAATTGTTTACAAGAGCATGCAAATGTTCCCTGTGCTGTTACTATTACCTTTCATAGGAATTTTTTGCTTTTATCTGTGTTTAATTTGGAGTTGATGAATTCTCTCCTGGCTTTGAGCAGATCTTGTGGTAATGACTACTTTCTTCTAAACACTGTGACTAAGATGCAGTTGGGCCTGTTAGAGGAAAATTCTGGGATTTCAAAAATTTAAGGTTCGGTACTGTGTAACGCTGGAGTGTATAACCATATAAAAATGTCTGTGTGTGTGCTGTTATTCAGAAATATATTGGCTTTTGTGTTTTTCTGGTAAGCTTTAAATTAACTGGTGTAGAGCTTAGGATACACTGGCTCCTGGAGCACATACCCAGCCTTGAGATGTCAGCCTTCGGGGGTGTGTTGACACCCATGGTCACAGTGTGTATTCCTGGTGCTCAATATTCTCTTGACTGGTCTGTTAAATACTAACTTAATTTATCTTCAATATTTGATCTTTGCGTTTGTTTTTTTATTTGACTTGGACCATCTTGAAAAGCTGCTTGTTAGAGTGAATATGTGGTATTGTAGCTCTGATTCCAAAGTTTGGTTACAAGCTGGAGCTGTGTGAGGTGACTGTACAGTGACGATTTATCAGACACCCTCTGATCCACTGTCACTCAGCACCTGGCAATGAAATCAGAGAGCTGCCGTGTGAAAATCCACTTCAGCCACGGAGTACATCAAAAGAAAGGGCTTAATCACAGGGCTTCCAGCCATTACAGTAATGGGCTTGGCTTCCAACATCTGCTGCAGCCTGTGAGCAGTGGGGAACAGGGCACCAATTGTGTTATTTCTGCAGTGGAGTGATGGCACCTGGGCAAAGTCCTTATTTTGTACAAGGAGGCAGAGGGGGGACACTTTGAGCCTCGGTTACCTGGCAGGTTAAATAATGTCAGGGAGCAGGATTGGCTGCATTAACAAACCTTGTAAGGAAAAAAATCCCCCCAACCTATTTATAGAGCTTATCTTTGCAACTTCCACCCCTCATAAAAATACGCTATATTGTGGACTTTGGAGTGTGGTTTCTTGCTGGGGGTGGGGGGTTGTTTTTTGCTTGATACAGATGATTGTTGCCTAGTCTACAAGTGTTTATCGTTTTGCCATCATCTGTGTTATGTTTCACACATACCCAGCTTTCCAGGTAATTAGAAGTTGATTGTGACCATTTAAAACTGAGTCTAAATCTCACAAAAGTAAAATTGCTTTTCATTTTCGTTTTGCTCTGGAGTTCATCAGAGTCCAGTGGACATTGTTTTTAATGGAGTTTATGCCAGACTCTCTACATAACTGTGCAATATATCTTTTTAGAATGATTCCTTTACTTTTTCTCATTTACATTTACTTTCACAACTGGTTTCAAAAGCAAAGAACAATTTCTTCATCTGGATTGGGTCTGTCTTACGACCAGCTTTTTGGTTGTTTTTTTTTTTTTTTTTAATTACTAGTTTTAAAGCTTCCTTGCACACTTGAGTTTCTTGTTGCCTTGCAGGAGGACAATGACATCCTGGAGCCTGATGTGGACAAAGATGAGGTTTTGCTGCCTCAGCTGGGGGAGCTTTCAGGAGAGAAGCTGCTGACAACCGAGTACTTGGGAGTGAGTACCACTCCTTAGTATTTTAAAAGAAATTAATTTTCGGGGTTGTTTCATTTCAGTAGTTTCACCACTTATTCAATTTGTTGCTTGAAGAGGCAGGTGCTACCTGCAGAGCAGTCTGGATCTTTCACAGTCTGTGTATGAGCTGCTGCTCAGGAGAAGCAGAACCAGTGTGACAAAGGAGCTACCCTTTCACAGAGGGTGGTCAGGCTGTGGCTTAATAATAAGCTACAGGCAGCCTTAGGGTTCTAGTGCTACACCAGTGACTCTGAGCACACAAAGCAAAGTACTGAGCAGGTTAATAACTGGAACATTCTGCTGGTCTGAAATTATTTTAGAAAAAAAAAAGTTGAAAAGTCAACTGCTCCTGCAGGCGTTGTGCCGGATCAAGTATTGTCTGCCTTACTTCAAGCAGCAAAAAGCTATTAAGTAAAAAAGCATAAAGTTTGTATGAATGCCATTTAGTGTGCTGTGACTAATTTGAGATATTCAGAGGGCTGGAGCACCTCTCCTGTGAAAACAGGCTTAGAGAGTGGCATTATTCAGCCTGGAGAAGAGAAGGCTCCAGGGAGACCTTATTGTGGGCTTTCAGTGCTAACAGGGTCTACAGGAAAGCTGGAGAGGAGCTTTTTCACAAGATCATGTAGTGCTAGGACAAGGGACAATGGCTTCAAACTGAAAGAGAGTAGGTTAGATTAGATATAAGGAAAAAATTCTTCCTTGTGAGGATGGTGAGGCTCTGGCATTGGTTGTCCAGAGAAGCTGTGGCAGCCCCATTCCTGGAAGTGTTTGAGGCCAGGTTGGATAAGGCTTGAGCAACCTCATGCAGTGAAAGGTGTCCCATGGCAGGGGGGTTGGAACTGGATGAACTATGAACCTTTCCAACCCAATCCAATCCTTCTGGATTTCAGAGTCCAGAATCCTGATGATGGAAAAGTGACCTGAGAGATGTCATGAAAGAGCCTTCAGTGATTCCAGGCAGTTTTACCCAGTGACACCAGAATGCAATTTAGTTTCTCCTGCAGTATTTCTATAGAATTTTCTCCATGGCTTCAAATAACTGTTTTTCCACTGCATTTTTTTTTCTTCATTTCCTGTGTATCAGATAATGACTCACACTCCAAAAACTAAGAAGAAGCAATTTGCTGGTGTCCAGCAGAGTATAGATGAGCCTCTCCAGAGACCTGTGACACCAGGTTATCACAGAACTGCATATCTAACGTAAGTCCAAACAAATGAGACCAAGTTGGATTTTTTTAAGCTCTTTTAAAAAGCCTAACAACAAAGAAAAGAAGCCCATAACAATGCCTAATAGCTAAACAAAAGTGTGTTACCATTGTCATTCATTATGGATAATTTAAAAAAAAAGAGCATTGCAGGCAGAGAAAGGTCCACTGCCTATGGTCACATTCTCAAAATAGTTGAATAAATATATACTGATCAGGTTGATTTAAATTTGCATTATATCCCACATGTTCTTGCATCTTCTTGTGAAATATTCCATTGGAAAGTTGCACCATACATCTACAATGCCTGGGATCTTCCACTTCACAAGGAAGAAAGTATATTTGCTCTGGGGAGGTTTGTTAGAGGACAGATGAAAAAGAAAATGGATAGGATAAAAATCTTGTTATGCTGAGTTTCCCTGCTTTGGAAGAAGTACATTTTCCATCAGAAGTATGTATGGCACTTTGCCCTTGGTGTGATTTGGGTCAGAGTAGAAGGCTTATTGTAAATGGAATAAAGGAGTCTTACCTGTAGAGCTCCTTGAATATTCTCTGCCTTCTGTTAGAACAAGTATATCTTGATTTCTGAGATGAGATTTGTCCTGTTCACTGTCCTGACTGAGGAAGTAAAATACCAATGAGACCCCAAATTTAAATGATTTTTTAAATTTCAGTTGCATAATTTTAAATTTGATGAAGTCCAGGTAGCTGTGATTTTTATTGTGATGATTTAATGTTTTCACTTCTGTGGATACTTAATCTGAGACCCTACAAGACTAACAAAGTATGATGAGAGTACTCAAGACTCACAGTCTTGGTATAGGTAAGTGTGTTAAAAATGAGTGGGTAACCTGAAACACAACAATGTAATGAAATTACAGGTGGTTCTTTGAACACATCAGTCCTGAGGATTGCCCCATGTTGTCCCTCTGCCACTCTTTGCTTTTCTGTTCATATTTTCTATTCTTTAAAGTACTTTTCCTCCTCATTTTAGTGTGGAAAATGAGTACAGAAGACAGTGAGGACTGATGTAGTTGCACAGGTGAAGGTGACTCTGAGTGAAGTCTGTTGTTTTGGACAAGGAGTGGTCACAGCTTTATCTTGGCTCACTGTCTCATGTTTGAATTAGCATTCCTATAAGCAGGTGGACTGATTGGGAGCCCTCCTGAGTTATCCAAATATACCTTTTTGGCAGGGGCATCATTCTTATGGGATTATATGTATTAGGTTACCAGGGCGTTGGAACAGACAAGAGTAACATACCAGATCTGGGCATGGACAAAACCCCAGAAGACATTTGTTTTTTAAAAAAGCAAGGTGAAGGGAACACTTCCAAAGCAGAAGAATTTTTGGCTATCCCATGGCAGAATTTGCCTTAAAATCTTAATTTTTCTTCTGAATACAGGCCTGGATAAAATGGCATTTGTTTGAACATGGCCCTGCTTTGTCTGCCTGGTATAGCCTAAATGTGGATTTGGAGTTCTGACTTTGTGTCCTTTCTTACAGTGGCCAACTTTTTGCACCATCACAACACCCACAGTTTTTGCAAGACCTCTCCCCCAAAATATGTATGTTTGTGTGTCAGAAGAAAGCAGCAATTAATTATATTAGTAAAATAGTGATTATCTAATAATTTTCATGCAGTTCTCCAAAAGAACTGCAAGCCTTAAAAATCTAGACTGGTTAATCTATGCCTAAATATACATATACTGGTTATCTATGCCTAAATGTACATTGTCACTTTACTGTGGAGTCAGTGTTAGAGTTCAAGGTCCCACTTGCCCTGCACAGCATTTTTTTTACCCATGGTGGGCTTGGAGACCTGGACTGATTCTGTGGAACTGAGTGTTAGGGCAGTGTTACAGTCCAGTTTTTAAAGTTACTCAAAATCTCTCTGCCCAGATTAATGTGCTAACAAGACCATACGCCAAAGTCAATATTGTGCATTTGATTTGATAATAAATATGAGAGGGAGAGGGAGAAGAAGAAAGAAAAAGGAACAGAAAAGAGGTGGGGGTACAGAGAGTGACAGAGGCAGGTGAAAGAAACTCTCACCACTCTGTGGATCCCAAGGATGTTCTGTTGATCCTCTCCAGCTCTGGTCTTCTTGGTGCTGAGGGTGCCCCAGAAAGCACAGGATGCAGTGGATGAGTACCTGCTCAGGCCAGGGGGAATGCCCAGGTGCCTCCCCTGGGGGGGCAGTTTGGCACAGCCTCTTGCAGCAGGCTCTGCCCTGCTGCATCACTGCCTCACGTGCAGTCCTGTGCTGCAAGGCCTTAGGAATGAGTCTGAGGAATGCTCTGGGGGCTTTGATGGGTTATGACACCCCCTCAGCTTCCTCCCACACCAGTATCCCATGGATGTGACCCGTTGGGTTGGGGGTTGTACAGCTGGGCCAGTTTGTGTAAGGGAGGGTGGGTGTTCAGTGCCTCTGACCAGAGGGTACACCCAAAACCACCTCCCCTCCTCTGTTCAGGGGGAGTCTGTGTAAACCTGGCCTCTGTGGGCTGTGGTCTCCCTCACCCCAAACCCGGCCAGGGATGATTCTCTCTGCATTTGGTGTTCTTGTGGATGCATTCCTTTCTCTCAGCTTCTCCCTGGACCTGAGGTGATTGAACATAAAATGTCTCCCTTATCTTATCTAGGGTGCTTAACTTGCAGTTCAAAGCTCCAGCCAGGCATCTTCAAGGAGAGGGGACTTCTATGTTTGTAACTTCTTTATTCTGTTTTTGCTGTAATGGGCAAAACTCCTTCCTAACAATGTTTAAGGCCTGAACCATTTCATTCCCTGACAGGCAGCCTATTTAGAAAGTATATTTTCAGGAATAAATCATCATTATCACTGGAGTGTCTAAGCATGATATTCTTGCTTTATAAGTGGAGAGAAAACCAAGCTTGTGAAAATGAAATTACTTTCCTCTGGGAAGTCAAAAAATGGTGTCAAACCCATGGGAGTGGCTCTTATTTCCCAGTGTCGTGTACTGCACTGCAATTTTTGCATCAGAAATAATCTCTGGAAGTGGTTGCTGCCTCTCTTTAGCACCATCTACCCAGGCAGGGTGTTTACTTATGTGTCCCAGGATCCTGGAGTGATGTGACTCTTGTGTTTGGCACAACTTGAATCTTCTCAGTTGTGCAGCTTGTGCCTCTGCAAGGCGGCTTCAGGTCACTGCTGGATACAAATTAAAAACACATTTCTATCACGCTGCTTCTGGTAGCTCTTGGTCTGAGGGAAGTGTTAGTTTGATGGTGTGAAGCAGCCTTTACAGACTGCCTCGCTATGCAGACTGCAGAGGAGAAATGTAAACAGCAGAAATCTAGCACTGTGAAAATACGTGAAAATTAATTTCCCTCCTGCTCTGCCCAAATGGTAGAAATACTGTGAGTGTTTGATGCTCCCATGTTTTAAGCAGGAAACAAGCAGTACCACCCTGAATGAGAAGTTTGTGTTTTATACCTAACTAATTTGTGTGCAGGAAACTGCAGTGAGTAGATGAAGACATTCTCAAACTACATTTTGCAGCAGAAAAGGACAAGCTTTTATGCTGTTCTAATTTTAGTACAAATTAATTTACTAAAATAAGGAAATCCGTGCTTGGAAATTATTGCAGGAGGAAGACAATAAAAACTTAGCTGCCTTAATCTGAAAGCAATATCTGAACTGGAAGTATTTTGTAGCTTAAATAATTTTAGTATCATGTGAAATATAATGAAAAATGTTAGACACTTCTGCCCTGGATACAATTTGTCTACCGGATACAATCCAGGACAGTTCATCTGAATTATCTGAAGTCTCGTGTTCAGCAGAGTGGTTAAACTACGTTAAAAATTTTTGTAAATGCTTCCATTCAAAATTGAAGTGACTATAACTTGTTTGAAGTTCTTCATGTGAGAGTCACTGTAATATATTCCATTTAAAAACATCATGAAAGAGGAAGCAGTTGAGGAGATACTATAACGTGCCTCTTTGAGTTGTTGGTTCATACCTCCAAAAGGGAGGGGGGTGAAGATCTTTAGTGCTGAATAGAAGTATTCACACAGAAAATTAATGCAGAATAGCCACTGCACATGAAGCAGCCATTTCATGCTAATTTTTGTGTGACTTCCCAGTGCAGACAAGGCTCTAGTTACTTCAGATGAATTGTCATGGGATCCCTGTATGGACAAGCTCTTGCTGTATGGAGCTGAGGGAGTCAGGAAATACTGGAAAGCTGCCTTCTTTTTCTTTTTTTCATTTTTCCCTCCTTCTTTAAAGACTCACTGGCTGAGATCACTCAAGGGGGCCTGAACTACTTAATATTCTGCTAGCTATTTCCTTGGAAACTGATTTAGCTGTGAAATCATTAACTGCCTCCTTGGACTGCATCCTTTTTACTAGAAATGTAGTTTAGCTACCTTAACCTGATATTGGGCAGGGAAACCTTCCATGTCTGCCAACTTGTTTTCACACACTTTTCACACCCTCTCACTTGTGCTGTGTTTTATTGCTTACTGGTAAGCAATTGTGTCCCTGTTCTGTCCTTCAGCTGCTTCAGTTTCCCATTGATCCACTTCACTTCTGAAACCAAGAGTTCTATTTGTTGCCTACTTTAGGTCAGTGTTGCATATTGCTTTTTAAAGTGAAATCCTTGTGATGTTCAGAAGCAAATCTTAAATCCTTGAAAAAGCTAAGTATTGAAGACCTCTCAGGCCTGTTTCTACAATCTTTAAGTGTCATGGTGGTATTTTTGGGTCTTCAGACTGCAGGGAGTTATCTTTTCTTGTCTCTTTTATTGCAGTAGGAAAAAATGTCAATTTCAAATATGTTTGATGTCAGCTGGTTTGGGGGAGCTACAGTCAAGCAGTTAAATTCTTAGTACTAGTTTTAAATATGAAATATAAAATAATTTCAATGTGTACTATGTCATTACAGACAATTAGAAGAAATTAGAATTTACTCTGATTAAACTTTTATACTGTAAGCATTCACCTTGCATTCTCCTCCCTCCTCCAGGCCAGAAAATGGTACCAGTTCCTGTCATGACAGGGATGAGAAGCTGCAGTCTCCAGCGAGTGGCCCTTCCTCCACCTGTGGTGGGAGACAGTCCAGCATTTCTGACTTCTGCATTTCCCCCTCATGTAAGGATGGCCTGTGGGTGCTGCTCTTCATTGCTGACATCTTCCTTGACTGGGGCAGGGTTAGGGGGCCTGGACTGTGTGCTGTAGATGGGGAATTCTTTTAGTGTAGTGTGGAAATGGCCCTGTGTTTGTAGAGCCTGGGTCAGTCTGCAGGACCTTGGGGCACACAGCAGGCTCCAGCTCCAGCTGAATGAGTGGCCACAGGAGGTAACGTGTGCCCAGCACACACCAATGGTCTCACTTGCCTGGCTCCATCTTGCTTCCTGTGGGAGTGCCAGGCATCAAACCCGGGGCTTCCTGTGGTGTGAAGGATACTCTGCAATGCCCCCTGCCCAGGGAAGGAGCTGCAGGCAGAGACAGTGCACTTCCCAACAGGCAAAGCCCCTTGCTCGATCAAATATCCCTTGTTTGGATCTAAATGAATCACTGTCTGCTGGCACCTGCAGGCTCTGTTGGCTGTATCTCAGCGTTAGAGCTGAAGGCAGCTGCAGTTATCTGCTGAGATTTGCAACTGCATTCAGACCATCCAGGGCTGTGGAGGATGGGCAGCCTGGTGCTGTGTGGCTGCATTGTGGGTGATGCTGCTAAAGATTCTGCCCTTGCAGCTTCAGCTGAAATTAATGCAAACTCAGCTGGGCCTGAGAGCTCAGAAACATGTGATGGAATTTAAAAGGTTATAGCTTTCTGAAATACTCAATTGCTGAACTTCTGATATCCACGAGATCCTGGAACTTTGGATGTTGGAGTTTCAACCTTCCTGCAGGGATTAATTAACATTTGCAATTACAGATCTAAGGCAAAATGTTCAGCAGTTATAGATAAAGGATCTTGCAGCATATCCGGGACAGAATTATTAATAAGTTCAGGCAAAGTGTGCTTTTTCTTTTCTGAAAAATATGCTTTGAAGCAGTAAAGGAATAGCATACTTTTTACTTTCTCTTCTATTTTTTTTAAATTTCCTAAAGGAAATGAAAAGGATTCTGAGAAAAGTAACTGAGGTCTTGCAGACAGGAATTCACTTGCATAATGCCTAGAGCTGATAAATGTAACATGCTGCAGGAGAGCAGGACAGGAGAGGAGAAGCTCCTGCCCACGATGGGCACTTGGGTTCTGTTGTGTAGCAGTGGGAGCTGCTGTTTCCACTGTGCACCTTGTGTACAGCTCAGGGGTTTGGCTGACCTAGGGCAGCAGCTCACACCAGCAAAGGTTGTAAACCAAGTAAAAGCTTACTGACTTGGCAGTTTTCCTGCAGAGAAAGAAAAAAAGAATGGATTTTTACATACCTGTGCTTTGTAAAGGAAATTAAGCCAAGTAGTTATCAGGGATGTTCCTATTTGGTGTTTTAAAGTGTAACTGGGTGCAATTCCTAAGGCATTTTGCAGCCATCCAGAGCCCAAGAGAACAGATTTTGATATCTTTCCAGTGAGATGCATGCACTCACCTCTGTCACTTCTGCTGTGCTGCTGATGCATTTTGTAGAGATTTGTGAAGACGTTTAAACAGGCAGCCTGAGTCAGTCAGCAAAGTAAATGTTGTTAATTTTTGATGAATACTGATTTAAAGCCTTCATGCTGAAGGTATTTCTGCCAGTTTAAATGTTTTGTCAGAACTTTGCTTGTAGCCTCTGTTTAAAACATTCTGTTAGCTGCTTTCGGTCAAAATTATATGCAGGTGGCTACTAATAAGACTACTAGATTGCATTCTTTTCCTATAGAAAAATATTTGAGATCAGAATATACAACATATTGCTAGTTTATATCCATTATACATGTAAAAAACAAATAATTTTTGTGTCTGACAGAGGAAATTTTTCCAGGCATTAATCCAGGCTATAAATAACATTGAGCTACTTGAAAGATGGCCTGAGGTTTTTTTTTGTTTTTGCAAGTAGCAATGACATATGTGCTTGTCTTTCTTGTCTTTTGGAATTTAGAGATGAGGTGGAAGAGAAGAGAAAAGAGAGACTGCACTGCTGGACCTCCTGGTTGTTATGTCAGTGACAGGACTTTATTCTGCAGGATTAGAATTGAGCTGGGTCTTTGACCATCTCCACTTTTCCAAAAGGCAATGGGGATTGTAATATTTAAATTGAAAAGGCTTTAATTTAAGACAATGGAAAATAACCCTTTCTCTTCTGTTGCCTTCTAAGATACAGCAGGGAACAGAAATGTGTAAAAATAATGGTACTGCTCCTAGAGGCTTTCATGATGCTCTGCCAAACATCTCTGCTGTGCAATAAATATGCTGTTTATTGACTTCTGATCTTGTTCTGATGGTCATTCTGCAGTACCAAGAGCCTACTTATTTCAGAATATTTGTTTCCCAGCGTCACATGAGTACCTTGGGACTCAGTTTTATGCAGCCAAGTCATGAAATGAATAGTAAGAGACAAAGAGTGAAAAAAACCAGAATAAAAGCTTCATGTGAACAATTAGCCTCCTCAAGGGGCTATCTCAAGAAGGCTAAGTTTAGCCTCAAGGAACCTTGATCCTCTTTTGTTTTCCAAAAAATGAGTGTAGTTCTTAATGTCCTTCTGGAAATATTTGGGTGTTCTTGAACTGGTCTGATATTGTCTGGGTCCGTCCTCTCCCGCTTTATCCTTTGGTTAAGAATCAATAATTCTTGCACTCTTCTATTTTTTGTCTCCTGTGGGCAGAAAACTTGTGGACCAAAGATGAACCCTGGTCATCCTCCTACACTTACTATGCTGAATGCCAGACAGAACATGTGCTGGGCAGCAAAATGCCTGTCTGAGAGTGACCTGATCTGCATTCTTATCAGCAGGAGGGAGCAAACCAGGACAGCAGCCTGTCCTGAGCATGGCAGGATTGGAGCTAGGGATTTTCCCTAAACTTTCATTGAACTTGCACATCTTGATAGCCTTGTGGTTTTAAGCAAGCTGAGTGTCCTTCACTTCCCCATTAGTGTAAGGCAGAAACTGAGTCTGACAGAAGTGTAAAACACTTCTTTTTGTCTGCAGTGGCCCTGTTACTGTGGATATGTACAGAAAACTGCACAGGGTTGTGTTCCTGTAGCTTTAATGAGATATTGGACATAGCTGATGTGTGTTAACTGCAGGTCTGCATGCTCCTGTCCCATTGCAAGTGCACAGTGTAGCCAGTTTTATTTTCCAACTCCAAAGGGCTTAAATTATTACACTTGGAGCTGTTTTGTTCAGGTGATAAGCCCTAATACACTCTGCCACACAAACTCAGTAGCCTGCCAAAACCTCAAGGTTTCCTTCATACAGCAGGAGCTGTGACTTGATTGTATTTCTAATAAAACTGTAAGGAGACAACTCCTCACTGAACTGTGCTTTGTTTTTTTTTCTAAGCAGCAGTTGAAATGAAGTCATCTGAAGTATTTGCATCAGGTCGTAGAATGGACCAACACATCCCAGCTGGTGATACCTTATCTTCTCAATCTGCTGACTTCACTGAGAGCAAAGTAAATGGTCAATCACACAGGTATGATCTATCCAGAGAATACCTAAAATTGTGAGAGGAGTCTGACAGGATTTACCAGCTAATTCCATGTTGCTGTAAAGACAATCTGTGAAGTTACTCGTGTGATGCAGTCTGGCCTGAGACAGCTGTGGTGGTGCTTGCCAAACAAAATACCCTTTGCTGTGCCAGAGGCAGCTGTTCAATTTCTAAGCATCTGGTTCAGAATGAGAGAAGTCTCAAGCAAGACATTATTAATGAACTTCACATGTATGCTCAATGCAGCCTTCTGAAAATAAAACTTCCTTATTGCTTCCTTAGATGACTCAACACTAGCCCATGAAAATCATTTATTAGTAAAGAAATAGGTAGGACTGTGGGAACACAACAGGAATTAAGGAAGAAAAATGAAGCATTTAAGTGGGTTAAGAGTGCTTAAACATGCTGAGTTGCTAGCACTGCTGACCAGAGTCCTTCATTTTTCCACTAGATGGGTACAGCAAAGGAGGCAAAGTTATGAGATCACCTAGCAATGGGTTTCAACTCTTCCTCGAAATTATTCCTGTAAAATGAAAGGTCTTGCTCTCCTTATCCTGCTTATCCTGTTCACCTTAGGCACTCTGTGACGCCTTTGCCATGTGTACAACTGTGATGTTATATCTTGGATGAGAACAAGGAATTAATTAGCAATTGGACTAAAGTCCACCACAGTTTTCAGGGCCTGCATGTGTCCTTCAGACATTAACAGCTTTTTCCTATAGCTAATTAGATTGGGCCAAGTTTTAAACAGTGTAGACAAATTTTGAAAGCAAATATGTTCCAGAACTAAAACACAGAATGGGTGGAGATGTGTTAAAGGAAAGCTTTTACAAGCTCTTTATGCACCTGGTTTTTCAGAAGTGCTTGGTTATTTGTGTCAATTACAGCTCTAGCACTTCTGAAAGATTCTGTCTCTAGAACTTTGTTTCCTTCATGCCTACAGATGCCAGTGTATGGGTTTGGATTTTTTGGGGGGGCTGGAGTGGCTTTGGTTGGGTTTTTTTCCCCAGTTGTACTGTTTCCATGGTGAGATCTGAGAAATTATACATTGTATAACAAATTGTCACTGGTTTCAGTAGTCATACCTCTGGGCCAGCATTACTGGTTTTATTTCTGTTGTCTGTTGTAACAGTAGCTAAGCACATCATAGAAATACAAATAGACCATACAAATTTATGGCCAAATTGTTTGCTTTGTGGTGGAGATAGGGATATTTGTTTTTAGGCTTTGCTTCCAGGAAGCAAGTAAAACTGGCAGCATCTTGTCCCCCTGTTATTAAAAAGGTGTGTTCCCTGTAATATTTAATATTTGTTCACAAACATATGTCTAAATCTCAGATAGAATTTACAGAAGTGAAGGCACAGGTGCAGTATCCTGCAGAGGAAGATCATATCTTTTCACCCTGTGTTTCCTCAGCATGCATGAAGTAATTTGGATTTCCAAACACAGCCTTGAGTTACAGATACAGGAATGCAGCCGTTCGCAGTCAAAGAGAGCACAGGGTTTTCTGTGTCAAGGGTCTTTTGTTCATATGTTGGTGTTGCAATACCTAGACCTGCCTTTTCATTCTTTCACTCCTGGATGCAGACTATAATTTGTTTGCAAAACAAACAGGACTAATAAATCAATTCTTTGCTCATAGTTTTGTCCACTGTAAGAATTGCCTCCTTCCTGGAGGCAAATTCCTCTTTGGCAAATACCAAGACCTTCCTAGAAGAGGCATGTATGAGAAAAGGAGAGCTGAGCTGGGCTGTGGAAGTGGTCACTTCTCTTTCTCCTTTTCCTTAGCAGTATATATTGAGAGCTCAGCTGTGCAGAGATGAGTGAAAGGATGCAAAATCAATTGGAGAGAAGAATGAGACCTTAGTAGTGGCATTTCTGCTGCAGATGTTTTATTTCCACAGGAATAAATGATTGTTCCAACTGATGCCAGTCAGAGAGTTAAATGACAAAAGCAATAGCAATTACACTGCTGTATGAAGATAAAGATGTTTAAATATCTCTGTGATCCACGCCTTGAGGTTTTATCTAGCCAGTCTTATTTTTGGTGTTGTTTTACCAGTCTCTTTCTGCTGCCATCTGCCACCTCCTCCTTTGAAGCTGAGACAAGTATTAGCACTTGTAATAGTCGTAGGTAGAGGGCTGCAGGGATGGTTCTTAGCAGATCAATTAGCACATCTCTGCCCGTAACATTAGCATATACATATGCTAAATACATACAATAATGCTAATTAAAATACAAAAGGAACACTTGCTGAAATCTCCCTGCAAGGTGAAGCAGAGCTATGGAAGGGCTAATCTGTACTGACTCAGCAGCATTCCCAGGGGAGGAGGGGAGATTAAATATCTTGAAAATCCTCCTAATCACTCTTTCGGATGGTCACAAAGGGTTCTTTTGATGGAGCTAATAACGCGGGGACTTTCTATTTTGAATCGCGATTTTTAGACGGCACCTTTCCATGTCCTGCCTCTGGCTCTTTTATTTCCCTTTTTAAATATGATGAAGTTTTCATGCAGCTGTTACTTTAGTTTAACCTTTTCTCCTTTTAAGAGAAAATCGACTCACTAATGCAAACATTAATTGAGATTCAGAATTATTTTAGAGACTTGCTATTTCCTGGTGGACTCCATTTTTTTAACTGGGAAAAACTGTATGCGGGGGCAAGGAAGGACAGTGTATCCTCACACAGTTATTGACTAAATTTTAAAGAATGGTATTTTTGCAGACTGTGAAATAGCAGCACCTGCTTTATGTTCTCAGTGTGATCAAGGAACCTGTGTGTTTAGGGAATTTATTTTAGAGATGCCATCACAGCTTTTTGCTCTCTTGACAAAGCCTTCAGGGAGTTCTACAAATCTTATCTCAGACAGGAGCCAGGGAGGCTGCCTATGTCTGCCAAGACTGACCTGTACCTGGAAGAAATTGTGGTGTCTGTGCCCTAAAAGGATGTGTTCCTGTGCTATAGCAGACCTGTGTATTTTTTACACCCCAGAACGAGTCACTGGATGTGATAAACACAGCAGAAAACAAGCTAAAGCTCAGTTACTGCTTGGCAGGGAATTTAAGTGCCCCTGTTCACTCCTGTTGTGCAGAGTGAGGTTTGGGTAGGAGGGACAGGTCAAGAGCCAGGGTGGAGGCTGTGCAGGGAGCCCACGGCCCAGGCAGTGTCTGTGCTGCCATGTTCCTTTCATTTGCAGCCTCCCTGAGGTTTGAGCACCTGCCAGGCTGTCACAGCACGTACTGCAGGTCTCACTTGGTTGCAGACTTACTATGCATACGTGTTTCTCCATGGATTGCTCACCCTTTCCCTCTCCTCCTCCAGTGACTTTGCCCTAGCCTTCACCAGCAAACCGAAGATCCCTCGCACTCCTGACGGCCAGAGCAGCAGCCCTAGGAAGGGAAAGGTCCCTGCCATTGCCCCCCAGTTCTCTCAGTCTGGACCCCAACAATCAAGCCATCCAAGCTCCTCAGGATCTGCAAGGAGCAGACAGAGTAAGTGGAAAATGTCATCGTTCTGTTTGTCATTCCTTGGGTGGGAAAGGAGGGAGCATTGTAGAAACTCTTCAGGAGTGAAGTAGTAGCTGCAAATGTGCCAGGAGTAAATGACATTGTGCTTGTCATCTGCAGGATGTACAACCATGTAATTATATCCTGCTGAACACTTGCTCCTATTTCCAGGCTGTCATGTGAGCAGTTAAAAGACATGCTTTTTCCTGTCTCTGGGTGGAGAAAAGTGACCCAAATTCACAGAAGTTTTTGGGGAAGCATATGAGTCTCAGATGAGACCTTCTCTAGATGTCATCAGAGTTTTTCCTTTTCTTTAGACATTTGTTCATCCCACTGTGTAGCTTGAAGTTGGATCCCTGAGTGTGTCTACACTGCAGATGAATGTAGAGCAGATGTCAGGCAGCTCAGGTGGTGGCTCAGGGCAGCTTGGTAAGCAGGGAGACAAGCACACTGTGCTGCTATGGCTCTCTCCCTCCTGCTGGAGACTGGTGCTCAAGAGCCACGTGGCCATGCTGTGGCCTGCAGAAGTTTATAAAAAGTACTTCATCCGTGGGGGGTTCAGAAGAGAGGGTGGCTTTGACTTGAGGATGGAGGAAAATGATGGGCACTTGCTTTGAGGTTCATCCGTGGGGGGTTCAGAAGAGAGGGTGGCTTTGACTTGATGGAGGAAAATGATGGGCTCTTGCTTTGAGCCAGGCAACACAAGCTCAATACAGAGGAAAAATTGATCTTGGATGCTCACACGTGAGCTGTGGAGTTTTTTGGGGTGGAGGGTGAAGAAAGGTGCATTCTTCAGTAATGAGCAAACTTTTTCTCAGGCTTGTGGATAGGAAAAGCTGGATTTAAATACAACTCTGTGTCCATCATTGATGAAAATGGCAGGAGAATGGCATCATAACAAGTTTAGTGATGATTATTTAATCACAATGCAACATTAGCTCTATTCTTTAGCTGTAACTGTTACTTGAAACATTTGACAAAAACATAGTAAGTCAGTACCTTCCCAAGAAACTCAAATGTATGTATATCATTAGCTACTTATTACAGAGTCAGAAAATGAAATGAAGATAATTTGAATAACCCAGTAAACGAGCTGGAAAGAGCATTCTGAGCCTTGTGTGTTGCTCATTCATCGTTCCACACAGTTGCACATGCAGAGAAGTGCTGTGGTTTCGTTCAGGGAGTACAGGTGAGGCATTGGAAGGGAATGTTCTTGGTGGCGAAAGGAGGTTTTGACCTGCAGGCTCCTTGCTTCAACACTCCTGTGCTGAGGTAATGCAGCTCTTTCAGCTTTACCTTTGCTGCATGTGCCCTGAGGTTTACCTCTGACATGAGTGCTCTCTGTTTCCTGTGACAGCAGCACTGTTCTGCCCTGACTGGAATTGGTGTTAACACCCAAGAGTCTGTCCCTGGTTCCTGTTTCGGTTCATTTCCAAAAGCATTGCCCCATTGAAAAGAAGCCCTAGTGAGGGAAGGAAAAGTACAGGGGGTGTGTGTGTGTGTGTGTGTGTGTACAAAAAATCTTCTGCATGTTCTGGTTTCTCCAGGGCACCTTTACACTCCTGGGGAGAGTGTCCTAGGAAAGATGTGACGGACCAGTGCTGCTTTCAGGAGGCTCTGGAGCAAGATCCTTTTCCAGAGGCACAGTGTGAAAAGCATTTTATTTTTAAATTTCTCTAAAGCAGATCACTTGGGGTTCTCTGTGGATTCAATATATGTGATCTGTTAGTCCAGATACTTGAGCTCTTCCAACTTTTATTGTTTTATTTGTTTTACACTATACTTCTTCTCTTTGCTGGGAATATGTGCTGAATGTACAACAGGCATCCCAACTTGCTATGGTCCATTTACCATTTCTCCCAATTTTTTGCTTGGGAATCCAGGTTATCATTTTCTATCTGTCCACATGTGCCATGATACAGTGTCAGCAATTAAATGTTAAGCTCTTCCTGCTAAAAATAGCAAATAAATTATTTTGCAAACAACTAATCTTCCACTCACTCTGTGTACATGTATGCAGCCTTGTTGTCTGCTGTCACAGAGCAACAATTAGTTCTTGTCCATCCTGCAGGGACTTTCACACAGGTGTTTATAGGTGGGAAAAGTTACATGAAAGTTGTAAGGACCAGATTTTTAAAGGACTAAAAAGGGTTTTAAGCACCTATGCTGAAACTTGAGTTCTCAAAGGTAATTCTTAGCTGTTACTTAAAGATGCAGGGAAGAGGTCTGAAGCAAGTGAGCCCAAATATTTCTCTAGTAAAGCTCTGTGCTTACTGCTCCTTTAATTTCCTAGCTGACTCACCTGTAGGTCAAAAATGGTATCAGATGCACAGATACCAGCAATCAGTAGATTCCAGCAGCTGCTGCCTCCCATTTGCCTGCAGCATAGCTATGTAGGATTTTAATTTCAAGAGACTCTGTTCCAGTGGAAATTTGGAATCCAAATTTCCAAAAGAAATTTGTGGATTTCTTATATTTCTGAAGAAATGCAAGTTTTTATAGCTGATGGACATGATGAGAAAAAGATAACTTTCTGATTTTACTTGCTGCATTCACTTATTTTACAGGCACATTTTTAGCTTGATTTTAGTATTTGTTACAGGTGTGTTTTCTGGAAACAAGTTGATTTTATGTAAACCTACCTGAACTAGCTGGACCGCTCCTCTTGGAGCATGGAGTGTGTGGAATGCCTGAGGAATGCAGAGGAAGCCCAGGTACTGAGTACAGCTACAGGCCTGGGGCCAGATTCCTGCCTGAGATGCAGCCCCTGCTGTTAGCTGAACTCCACAGCAAAAGCAAGCTCCTCCAAAATATCAGCCATGCTGGGATCCTCTGTGATTTCCACTTCCAAACTGGCACAGGGATGACACTGGCAGCATGGCTGGAAAATAGAGTTCCACAGGGAGCAGAGGCACCTCCAAATTTAGACCTTTTCAACTGTGCTCCACGTGGACATGGTTGTGTGGTTTAATCCACTCTGATCCTTATTCTCTGTCTGTTCCAGGCAACTCTGCATGGGTGTGCTGAAGCTGTTTGCAGAGTACCAAGTTCTGCCTAAGGCACATTGCAGCTAGGGCAAGACAATAATCTCTGCCAGAAGAATGGGGAATGTTTTTTGTCAGGAGTGCAACTGGGCCCTGGCGATGCCCTTTCAGTTGTTTCAATATCCCCTGAAAAGGGGTTGCCATAAATGCATTCTGCAGCTTTGAGTGGCAGCATCAGGAGTTAAAGTGCCTTTCTGCATGTTTTTTGTGATGTTTGTGTCCCTGTACAAGTTGAACGAGCGTTGCCCTCAGGCAGCTTTTGTCTTGTAAATAAATCCTGCTTTCAGCTGACAGACCCTTTCTCGATGTTTTTCTGCAGGCAGCCAGTCCTACAGGAAGTGAGAACAGTTCCTTTCCTCGAGAATCACCTGTCACATTGTTGAAGGACAGAGCCAGCTTCCTGTAATGAGCTTTCCTGGTGACCTGCAGAGGAGAGTGAGGTTGTTGACACTGCGGGCCTTGCACAGGGATTGGGGATTATCTGATGGGATGTGTCTGTGGGCTCTAAAACTGGCTAAGACAAGGGCCTTGTTATTAGAATTCGAGGTCTCAACAGCAGTCCAGGACTGGCATGGGAGATGGATATTTTCTGGTTGTTTACTCTAAAGTGACATTGCCACCTCGAGAAGAAACTCTTGCTCTCTGCTTCTGTGTCAGTGTAAATGGCCTTTGGAAACAGAATGTAGGCTCAGCCCAGGAGTCTTACCAAGAAACTGTATTTTTTACTTATTGCTTGCTGAAGCAGCCTGCCAATTGCTTTTTTAAAATTCTGCCTGTGTGACTGGGTTGGGAGGTATCTGTGTTCAAAGGATCTGCATGAAGAGGGACAGTGTCTGCCACATGTGCAGAGCCTCCCAGCCCAGAGCAGTCCTGTGTGGGGTGAGATCTTCCTGACCTTGAAGAGGAGGTATTTTATCAAAATCTGGTTGACCTGTAGCAGATGAAAAACACTGTTACAGTGCCCAAGGCAGCATCCATGCTCACCTCTGAGGTCTTTATCTGCAGCAATTACTCCTATTACTTCTTTCTGCATTTTTTATTAATTCTACTGTTTAACATCTGTGGAATGAAAAATCTCTTTCTTTTTTCTTTTTTTTTTTTCCTGGAATGAAGAGCTTTGCTTCTTCTTTCATAGAAGAAACCATGAGAATGTGAGCAGATTAGAAGCAACTTTCTCTTTACATGTAACTGTGCTCCATCTTCTTTGGTGTTTGTTGTTTTTTTTTATGTTCTTTGCTTCAGAGCAATGACTGTTTATGTCTCTATGGAATTTGTGCTGTGTTTGGTGCATGTGAAGTGCTGGCTAGGCAAGAGAGATCAGGAATCCTTCCACTGAATAAAAAGCAGCAGTTAGTTCTGCCAGTGAATTACAAAGCTGGTGCTGTTTGTTGCTCTTTCTCTCAACATAACAGTGACCAGGAAACACTGAAGTCTTCACTGGGGGTTGACTTTTCAGTAACACCCTTCATGTGACAGCTGCTAGGACACATAAGTGCAGTTTACACTGGGATTTGGCTGCTGCTGAGGCAGAGATGTACAAAAAGCTGACAGTGTATTTGCCAGAGTCTGACTTCAGAAACAAATGTTTGAATGAGTATGAAAATGGGGAAGGTAAGGCTTTGGTTTTGGAGAGCAAACAAGTAGAACACAGCCTGAAAGGTAAAGCAGCTGCTGTAGTGACAGTGCCTTCCCCTAAAGTAAAGAGTTGTAAAGCCATTGCTGTAGAGGCAGAAGAAAGCTTTGTGCTTCTGACAAGATGTGGAATTGGGCCTCTTGCTCTGTGGTGGCAGCTCAAGAGCCAAGGCCCCTGATATTGTTCCTTCAGACCCACTGAGATCAGTGATGCTGTGTCAGGTGTTGGCAGAAAGGGCTCCCACACACAACTTCAGGAAACCCCTTTGGACAGAGTTTAAATCAGTTTAAATGGGGGTGTTTTGTAGGAGTCAAGACCTCCTGTAGCTTAAAATCCAGTGAATTAATGTGGAAGTTACCATTTACTACTCAAAAACACGGACCTAACACCAAGCAGGCAGAGTACTGGGTGTTGCTTTAGCTCCCAAACTACTCCAGACATGGAGTGACTACAGACACTTGCTGGCCTCTGTCACACAGATCCCCATGCCAGACAAAGGAGCCACAGAAAATCTCTGACTTGTGCTCAGACTCATCTGCCTCCTCTCAGAGCTGATAAACACAACTAATGGGAAAATGTCCTCTGGTTCCCAAAAAGGCAGTAATGGAAAACAGCCATAAAAGTTCACCTCGTGGCTTTCCAGGGTAGGCAGAATTTCCTCTGAAATTCTGGGTTTTTTCCAGCACTGTAACATCAACAGCCAGTTGTGAATGAAGTGCTAAGCAGTTCATTTGCATACATGAATAACAGAATGCTCCAGTAGCTGAGTTTTATTTATCTTACAGCTGTGCTGTGTTTCATGTTGGATCTATGCTATGTTCATGCTAAATCTGATTGTGTAAGATGGAGAGCAGCTTTTGAAAAGTGTTGAGAGCAGACTAATTTTTTTTTGATGGGGAGCAACAACCCCAAAATCTCACTGATTTTATGAGTTGAGGTAAAACTTCACCACCCCTTGCCAGACACCCCAAGGTGTTTGGTAGGTGTGGCAGCTGCTCCAGCAGATCAAGATTCATGAAAACCAAAATGCATTTTGCTGAGTTGAACTGAAAGGAACCAACTGAAGTGTGTGTGCTTCTTGCTCAGGCTTGTTGCAGTGCAGAACTCCATATGTATATTTTCCCGTGTTCTCTTAGCTGTGTATGGAGTCTGAAATCCATGACTATTTTTATATTAATGCATGAGAAACCTAATTTTCCAAATACCTGAGAGAAACTGTTGATGTGCTTAGGAATAAGTTATCAGCTGAACAGTAATTTGAGAGGCTGAGGAAGTAACATGTCCTCCTTTCCTCTGTCTTCACAAAAAAGCCCCTGTGATGGCAGTCAGGAGATTTGAAGCTAATAAAAAATGTCAATTCTGCCTTTGTTCATGGGTCTCCACTCTTTGGGGTGGAAGGGTCCCTGAATGGAGGTCAGTAGCACACACATAGCAAATTCAGCACCTCACTCTGAAAAGTTGTTGGGTGTCTTTTGCATGTGCCACAAAGAGGAAGCTGCTAGATTCAGCACCCTCCTGGGGAATTCATAACAGGAGCAGTGGAAATTGCTGCCCCGGTGGGAGGGGTGTGATTGCATTTAGAGTGGCTGTAATTTCTTTCACCAAGAGCAAATAAAATTATTGCAAACGACACACGGATCTTCAAGGAAAGTTTTTCCGGGACCAAAGTCCTAAGTGGTGCTACCATGTGTTTTGGATGTAACTACTGTACCTTCAGTGTCATTTTGTTTATGCAGAGTGTTATTTAAGCCTACTGAAGTTTGCATAGAGGGCTCATTCTGTACGAGTGCTTTAAAATTATCTTTCCATGACTAAATAAAAATGCTCCTAAAGTGGTTTTTTTTTCTTCTTTCTGATATATTTGGTCTGGGGGTCGTGCAACTTTTTTGTATGAATTTCTTTACATTTCACTCTGGTTTATTATTGACAAATTCTGTCCCTAGCAGTTTTTATCTCCATCTAAGTGGGAAACACAGCTCCCTTCAGTTCAGCCTGGCCTGCCTCTGCACAGGTAATAGTGTTTACTCAGAAGGGTTGCAAAGCAGGCATGAACCACTCATTGTTTGTGGTCTCTCATGAGGAGAGCCCAGGCATGTGGGATGCCACCAGCGACACTGGGTTGGTGTCAGAAGTGTTATTTGTTGTACAGTTTAAGTGTGTAAGGGAAGACAAGCAAGGAAGTTCTCTGGAGGGAAAATATTGCTGTGATTTGGAGGGACAGTGTTTGTTTGGTTTGGCTTTGAGTTGTCCCTTTAAACAAAGTTTCATTAAAGCAAAGTTTCACTAATCTTTATAAATCATGGTGGAGATGGCAGTGCAGAGGTAAGGAGCTCTGCATGGTGTTCATGCACATCTTGGTGTGGTGGTAGCCAAAAAGCAAACACGCTGCCTTCCTTGCAGGTGTTTAAGTATATCAGTCTTACTGTTCAGCTAGGGGCCTGAATTTATGTTTGAGACAGAACCTCCTGGTCCATCCTCACATTTGCTTGCAGCCTGACTGAATATTGGAAGAGGGACTCTCCTGGGAGAGTAAATATGGGGGAGTTGGGGGGTGCTCCTTGCTTGAAAACCCAAGGAAGGAGCGTGTGAGCCCTGCCAGGCACCCCGGACCCCTCCTGTGCTGTGTGGGCCCTGAGCCCGAGGAGGTGTGTGGGCATGGCAAGCAGAGAGGGTATCTGTAATTACAGCCTTGCAAACCTCCTCTGATCCTGTGGGAGCCCAGTGCCAAAATACCTCCGTGACTGAGCCACGTGGACTTCCCCGGGCTAGGCTGCACTTTCCCAACCTATTCATGGAAATTGTGAAAGGAGGGAGACCCTTGGGAGTTCATTGACAGGTGAGAAACAGCAAGATGTTTCAAGACAAACACAACAGACTAAGACCAGACTGTTCTGGCCAAGCTATGGCAATCTGCTGCTAATGGATTTCAAAAAGAAACCAACTTCTGGGTGCAGAACGTAACACATTCTCCTACTGTGTTATCAGACCTGTAATTCTGTAGCCTGACATTTGTCAGGAGCTGGGATCCGACATTTCAAAGCAGGTTTCCTCCCAACTCCAGGCTGCTTTCTGCCCTGCAGTGACATTGTATTCAGTAACAGCATCGTGATCCAAATTTCCACTTTTTGAGGAGCTGGTGCTCTCCGAGCAGCAGGCTCGGTGGCACACCCTGGGACATCTAATAACTTTCTGGAACATGTCCTCCTTCTCCTACAAGCTCTGTCAGCAGTCCTTGGCATATGGTCCAAGTTTCCAAGAAACTAGGGCAGTAATTGATGGCAGTGAAAGTGAGAATGCTTCACATAAGCAGTAAGAAATCCAGGTGACAACTTTAATGCTTTGGTCTTATCTTCTTCAAGTATGGGAAATGCTAATCTAATATAATTTTAAGGCAGCAGATTTGGGGGTGTCAATTATTTTGTTTACTCTGCAAGCGAGTGACCTAGGACTGCTTTTAATTTCAAAAATGGTTTTCAATATGCCTTGCTGGTTTTCATCTTAAAAGACTTTTAAAGTGTTACTTCGTTTTATTTGTTTTTCCTTTAATAATGCTGAGAGCTAATTCTTCTGAGTAACCAAATGAACAGGACAAATAAAAAGTAGCAGACACCTGAAACAATAAGGTTTATTCTGTAGATGTTTAAGGTGCCTTTTATATTGGGCTGTAACTGACAGCTATAAGTGCTGAGGCCATTTGACAATCAGACCACCTGCAGAGGGATTTTAGGAGTTCAAGGACACCTCCTTCTACTGATCCCAAGGTAAAATTCTGGCCTTTGTAGATCCAGATTTAGTTCTCCTCCTCTGAAGAGTGAAAAAATCAAGCTGGAGTGAGGATGGGATGAAAGTGCTGGAAAGAGCAGCTGTGTGCCAAGTGATAGAGTTCCTCACTGGGCTGCCGTGTGCCGGCCTGCGGCCGAGCCCTTGCCTGGATCTGGCTGGCTCTTGGCAGAGCTTGAATCCTTCCTGAGAACAAATCACTTTATTGTTCCTGTCTGCTCATGCACTGCCTTTTGGGAGCGTGGTTCACGTTGTTGCAAGAAGCAGAACCATTAGCACCAAATGAATTCTTTGTCAAGCAGCACAGTCTCCCTGAAATTTTTACTCTTTTTCTGCAGCAGCTTTCCCCCAGGATCAAATTTGCAGTCTTGTAGGGGACTGGCTCCTGGTAAGCAGATGACTTTTTTTTGTTAATTCTGCAGATCGTGGCCCACCATGATTTTCCATGAATCTGTCTCCTTTCTATTTCTTCTTCATCCAAGTGAGCAACTGGGCAGTGAAAGGTGGCAGCTCGGGGACTTGAGGAAAACAGTTCTGTTTCAATTAAGCCCCTTCCACCCTCAAGACCTGTGGAAACTGGGCTGTTTGAAACAGCCAGAATTTCCACCCTGACTAACTGCACCAAAAGCTCCATTGCAGAAAGGTGGGTGTGAGCCACTGTGAACTTCCACAAATCTCAGACCATGCTGGGGCTCCCAAGGTTCTCTGAAACCTCATTTACAGCAACTAAAGCATTCTCAGCAATTGTGTCACTGTCAATTCACGCAGAAATGGCAGCAGTTTCATCTCGAGTGATTTGGCTCCTGAGTCATGTCCATGAACAGGGCAGAGATCAAGGCTTCTTAACCAAAATCAATCCAGATGATCTGACACCTTTGTGGAGACATGAGTCATGTCCATGAACAGGGCAGAGATCAAGGCTTCTTAACCAAAACCAATCCAGGTGATCTGACACCTTTCT